TGGCGGGTATTTGCGGCCAGAGGGTGCGGTCATGGTCATGATGTCGAAGCGGCTCCGCGCGCTCCGTAAGAAGAAAAAGCGGATTGCAGACATCGAGGAGGCGAAGGCTGCGGGGAAGAAGCTTCAGCCGGAACAGGAAGAGGTTCTGAAGCAAAAGCTGACGGTGACGCTGCTGATCGAGGAGTACGAGAAGCTCTACACGCCGTTGCAGGCAGCCGTGCACGAGCAGGTGTCGGACTGCGAGAAGGCCGTTGCCGCCGCAATTCAGCAGAAGGCTGAGAAGGAGGCTGCAGAGGCAGCAGCGGCGGCGGCGGCCGCGGCCGCGGCTGCAGCTGCAGCTGCGGCGGCTGCTGCTGCTGAAGAATCTTCAGTCGAAGCTGCAGAGGCAGTTGCTGCTGACGGAACAGCGGAGAAGGCCGATGAGCAAACGGATTCCACAGCAGGGGAGGCGGGCCAGTCAACGAAGGAAGTTTCAGGCCGCGGAGAAGGAGGAGCGGCGGAATCTGCAGCGGATAAGTCTGATGACGTGGATCGGGCCGTGAGAAGCGTTGTCGAGGTGCTTTACTTCGGCTCGCTCTTCGATCTGCGGATGGACTCCGCCGGGGCGTCGCCGCTGCTCAGCTGGCGCAACACGCAGGAGCGCACGTCGTGCCTTTCCTACGACCCTATCACCGACGACAACGCTGCGGCTTTCTTATGCGACGCGGATCTTGATGCCGTCGCGAATGCGGCGCGGCTGTTGACGACGCGCGACGCGAGCGCGGCGAATCACAAGGAGGCTGTGGATCGGTGCGTGGCGCATGCCGTGGCGTTGGCGTCGCGCTCTCAAACCGCCATCGACCCGACCATCCACCTTACGTGTACGTCGGTGCAGCCTTCACGGCGGTCTGTGCGTCACACGAATCATTAATTGTCTGTGCTTTTGATTGAGCCGTCGTTTCATTAAGAAGCAGATTCCTGTCGTCTTCATGGCTTGACTTCCTCCTTACTTGCTTTTTGTTCTCATATCTAAAAAAAAATAAACGCACCTCCCTCTTCACGCCACCTGTGCCAACCCGTTCCACCTCTCGGTTGTCCGCCTACCACTACTGTCATTTCAGATGCGCAATTGCGCGATCGCCTGGACCGCATAATCGCCTCTGGCTTTTTCACCAAATGGGCCGAGGTCGTTTCATCCGAGGTCGTTGCCGCTGCGGCCATGGCCGCCCAGGGTCACTTCCCCTCCGCCGACCCCGCTTCCTCCTACGCCGCATCCCCATCTGCTGCCGCCCCTGCTGCCGCCGCACCCCCCCCGCCCTCCGCGCCAGCGCCTGCGGATTCTCTTGCGCCTTCTGCCCCTGCGCCCCTTGCGTCAGCCCCAGCCGCCGCGACTACCGCCGTGCCTTCCCCAGGGGGGCCGTTGCCCGTGAACGGAGTTGTGTTCGGATCCGTGCGCCCGGACGCGCTTTCTGCCGTCTCCGCAGCCCCTGTGACCGTTCCGCTGGTGCAGGGCGCGCCAGTGCCCCCGGCTGCGCCTGTTGGCGCTGTTATTCCGCCGGCGCTTGAGCCGTCGCCACAGGCACAGGTGGAACAGGCGCAGGCAGCAGCGCAGGCAGCAGGGGCAGCAGTGGTTGGGCAGCAGGGAGCGCCGGTGGTAGGCAATCAGGGTGTGGTGGGGCCGGGGCAGGGCACGGTGGGTGCGGGACATGCTTCTCAGGTGCCTCAGGTGCCTGCTCCTGCTGGTCAGCCTGGTGCAGTGGTGGGGCAGCAGGTGGCAAGGCCGGGTGTGGGGGGTCCAGATCAGGCGAAGCAGGCGCAGGTGCAACAGGGGCAGGCCGCGACTCAGGTGAGAATCTTTGGGGCGTAATTTTGCCATTTGGGTACAGAAGGAATTAGTTTGGTGGGTTTTGTCCCTGTCTTTTATTGTGTGGTGAGGGTTTCCACTAAGCTCTGAGTTTCTGTTGTCACCCTTCAAGCGCTGCCTACTACACACCTGCAAACGCTCCAAAATTACACTGCAATTCAACCTCAAAATGGCCACTGCTCACAGCTCAACGCTCCCTCTCCGGTGACCCACCAACCGTTCCCCCATTCCTTTCCCCTGCAGGCCGGTACGGCCCCAGCGGCACATGCAGGGCACCAGCACCCACACGCGCAGCACACTCCAGTTGTCACTTCCCGCAGCGGCGGTGGCAGTGGGGGGAGGGGCGGAATCATGGGCGCAGGTCCGGGGTACATGGGCGGACGGGGCTCGAGGGGGGGGTACCGTGGGGGAGGGGGCCGGGGGGGAAGGGGGGGAGGGGGTGGGCGCATGATTGGGGGAGGGTACGTGGTGTATGACCCTGTGCTGGTGAACGCTGGCATGATGGGAGGCGTGGTGGGCGCACCTGGTACGGCACCTGGAATGGCGCCTGGCATGACACCTGGCATGACACCTGGCATGACACATGGCATGACACCTGGTATGATACCTGGCATGACACCTGGCCTGAATGCTGGAGTAGCACCCCAGGGTGCGGCGATGGGATCAATGTATGGCGGGGGAGGTGCAGGTGGGGGAGGGCGAAGGGGTGGGGGACGCAGCAGGGGAGGGCGGAGGGGCGGGAGAGGGGGCTATGATGGCGCAGGGGGGGGAGGAGGGGGAGGGGGGTCAGTGGTGGGGCCGAGCAGTGGGCCAGTGACAGGGGGAGGCATGGCAGCAGGTGCTCCACCTGTTGCCGGACACTAGTGAGTCAGGGCAATAGTGATGGCACAGCCATGCTAAGCAAGCCAACAGGAGCATGCTGTTTGACAGCAACAGAGGGTTGGCAGCAGAGGGGCAGATGAGCTGGGGCGTACTGAGGGAGTCTTATCGTATCCATTGTGAATCTTCAATGCAGCTGTCTTTGAATGAGCTGGACTGGGTTAAGGTTGAAAGGAGGCAGAGGGAAGATGTGGACAACAAAGCTTTGGAGCGAGAGAGAGAGAAAAGGCAGAGGAGTTTGACAATGTTGAAACATGCAGGTGGTTGGTTGGGAATGGTTGTGTTGCTGACAGGAAGGTTTTACGAATTGCAACACATTCAAGGCTAATTGCCTATTGATGCGTCTCCTAATGATAACGATGCAAATACTTGACTGTGATTCTTAAATTCTTTCGGATGTGTAGCTAGTGCAGGTTGCAACACACCCAACTTCTGAAGCGTGGATATACTAGCAGCACTACTGCATCGTTGATTGGTTGAACAGTTATGGCAAGATGCAGGTGCCATTTTGTCAAATGAGTAGATTAAGTGAAGACTAGGGTTTGGGGTAGTAGGAGACTTAGAGAGGAACATGTCGAGAGGGTTTGCCAAAAGAGGATGAGTTCACTATTGAGCGAGGTACAAATAGCAAACAAAGCATGCAAAGAAGGTGCACCACCAACAAGTTATAATAACTACACTAAACTACAGCTACAGGCAGTTACATATATATTTCAACACTCCCCCATAACTGCCTGCAGCAGGAGTTTGTGCAGCAACACCTCTTGGACCGGTACACCACGAACAGAGAAAACAGCAACAGTAGGCAAGAGCAGTGACAACCTGTGCAGTGGTGGCAGATTCAGCTGCACCAACCCCTCAACCAAGGTAGAAGCAACAGACAAAGGTGCATGTGGCGGCAGGTCGCCTGGAGAGCGGGTGCGTGCGGCGGCAACGTGCGGCGGCACAGCAGCAGGGCTCAACGGCAGCACCTGTCGCTCAACAGCAAAAGACAGCAGAAGGAAGTAAAACAGCAGGTGGAGGCAGGGGAGGCAGCAGTAGGTGCCACGGTAGCAGCGAGCGGCAGCTGCAAATGCCTAGCTGAATTCCGCCACCATCTCACCCTCCCTCCCACGGCGGCACGTGCAGCAGTGGGATAGAGAGGAGGAGGGGCGGCTGCTGGCTCGGCAGAATCTCTCTCCACTCCCTCACACTCTCCCCCTTTCCCCTCACCCTCCCCCCGCTACCTCTCCCCCCCCTCACGACGGACCCCGCTGAAGGGAGGGGAAGGACGGGCTGCAGGCAACTCACACATGCCACCCCCACATCTCCCCCCCCCCACGGCGGAAGCTGCGGAAGGTAAGGGGGGGGCGGCGTTAGCTGCTGCTGGCGCTGGCGTCGTCGCTGGCGCTCGCGCAGGTGCTGGCGACGGGCGCTGGTGCTGGCGCACACGACCGTGCGCGGGTGCGCACGGTCGTACGCGGCTGCGCGCAGCAATGCGCTGCCGTACGCAGCTGCGCGCGGTGCTCGACGAGCAGGGCGCAACGGGCGCGACGGGGAGGGCGCCACGGACGGGACGAGCAGGGCGCAGGAAGCGCGGACGTGCAGGGCGCTGACGGGGGGCCGAAACGAGGCCGCATCTGACGCCGTCGCGCAGCTCGCCGCCGAGACCGTTTTGACGGTCGCGACCATTGCAACTGTCGTAACTACGGCCGCGACGGGGGGCGTGACGAGCGCCATGAGCGGGGGGATACGTGGTGGGCCCATGGGGAAAAAGAAAAGTAGGTCTTAGAACGACCCAGCTCTTAATACCATGTCAAAAGAGTAGATTAAGTGAAGACTAGGGTTTGGGGTAGTAGGAGACTTAGAGAGGAACATGTCGAGAGGGTTTGCCAAAAGAGGATGAGTTCACTATTGAGCGAGGTACAAATAGCAAACAAAGCATGCAAAGAAGGTGCACCACCAACAAGTTATAATAACTACACTAAACTACAGCTACAGGCAGTTACATATATATTTCAACACATTTGTACAAATGATATGCTAGGGCCAATCAATGCTTGCCGTTGTACAGAAAAGGTGGGAGGCACAGGCGTAGCACAACAGGGCCAGAGCTTCAACTCGGGCCCATCTCAATACGTAAAACTCCCCACTCCAAATGGTATCGAACAAGAACACTCATCACTCATTCATGTGCTGCCATCCAAGACTTGGGTGCCAGCACCCACCAAAGACTAGATTCACCAGAGTGCGCCCCCACATTTGCTGTCCCATTCATCCCCCTGCCACCACACTTGCCTTACAATCCTGGATTTTCGGGCTCATCCTTGCACCCCTCCCCCCCCATCCCATCACCCTCTACCTTCACTCCATTCAAATCTACTCCTCCACCTCCCACTCTTCCTCTCCCTCTCCCTCTCTTTGCCCCTCTTGCACTCCTCACTCCTCTCCTCTTCCGATCCCCACTCACGCCCGCCCTTCCAACCCTTTTCTCCTCATCCTCCTCTTTGTCGCCCTCGCCCACACCACCTCGCCCCTCCCCTTCACCCACCCCACTGGGCGCTATCCCAACCGCAGCCTTGCTGACTGTGTATCTAACAACAGCTGTCAGCATCTCATAGCCCACGACATGCCACGTAGGACCCGTCCCTTTCTGCAATCCTGAAACCTGCTCCGGATCGTCCAAGTGACTGTTGCACGCCTGCGCGGAGCTTGCTGGTGGAGAGGCATGTAGGCTTGGTTCCAAGCTGCCAAGCTCCATGTGGTTACCGCTGCTGCTATGCCCCTGTGCCCCTTGTTGCCCTGCGTGTTCCCTCCCTGGTGCCTGTTCAAGCACTCGCACACTCCCCACTGCCCGTCCTTCCCAGAAAGTGCATTCTGCTTCACCCAGGCCGCTTGCTGCACTTGGTACAGCGGGTTCTGGCTCTCCTGATGCTCCTGCTCCTGCCTCTGCTGCTGCCGCTGCTGCTGCTGCTGCAAGTAGTGAAACAGGCGCTGCTTTTGCTTCAGGTGAGGTGGCTGCGGATCCCCGTGTTGGCTCCGGCACAGCAAGTGGCATGGGAATCGGTGGTGGTGGCGACGTGGTATGGCATGTCAATGCATGCTCTTCGCCCTGCGTTGCCGCAGGTGCTGGCTCCTGGCATGGGCGGTGGAAGCAGGTGTGGTGTGGTTCAGATGATGTATGCTCGGTAGTGACTGGTGCACGGTGACACAATGAGTGGTGCACACTGCACAGCAATGAGTGTGTGCCTGAGAGCATTCAGGAACACAAAACAGTGAGTCGTTCTCATTATGAATCAAGTCTTCTCAAAGCCTGGTGGGGCGGAGAGAGAGTGCGACCAAGAAAGGAGACAGAAGGAGAGGGAGACGGAGAAGTGGGGCAAGGGAATGGAGAGGAGAGGGTGAAAGCACGGAATAAATGGAAGTGACGAGGGGAGTAATGGAGAGAAGGAAGAGAGAAGGTGGAGAGAAGGTGGAGAGAAGGTGGAAGGAAAGTGGAGAAAAGGTGGAGCGAAGACAGAGAGGCGGTAGAGAGTAGGTGGAGATTGAGGTGCGTGCACACTTGACAAGGACAAGGAGCGACGGCGTGATGGATGGTGATAGGCTCGCATCCATAGCCCTGGGAGAAGTTGAACGTGAAACTGATGGCTCCTGAAGGTGTCACGCCTTGCTGCTGCTGCTTCTCACCCTCTCCCTCTGCTCCTTCCGCCTGCTGCATCTGCAGTTTGAAGGTCCTGTCGGGAACAGAAACAAGGAGCAGCATAGGCATAGGAGGAGAGGGCACTGAAAATTCTGGATACAAGTGCGAATGTTCATACTATTTGTTTTTTTTCTTCTTCTTTTGAAATTTACAAAATGCAGGAGTGCAAGCAAGGCCAGGATCGAGGGAGTGAAGCAGCGGACCATGTGGATCACAGGGAGCAGCACCTGTTGAACGTGTACGGTGGAGATGTGAGGGTGAGCTCATCCAACGGCCAGCTGTCAGGGAAAGAGACCTGGAGGTCCAGGAAGAGGAAAAAAAGGCAAGGAATGATTTGAAAGGGTCAATAGGGATGGGACAGTGACATGGATGGGCCACTAAATGGATGGGTCACTAAATGGATGGGTCACGAGATGGATGGGCCACTAAATGGATGGGTCACTAATGGATGGGTCACTAAATGGATGGGTCACTAAATGGATGGGTCACTAAATGGATGGGCCACTAAATGGATGGGTCACTAAATGGATGGGCCACTAAATGGATGGGTCACTAAATGGATGGGTCACTAAATGGATGGGTCACTAAATGGATGGGTCACTATCTGGATGGGTCACTAATGGATGGACACAAACGATTGGTCAATCAACAGCAGTAACAGCAAGAAACAGCAGCGTAAGTCGATCTCAGTTAAATGGTTCCTGGAGTGTTCTTGGAGAAACAGCGGAGAGTGATGAGGGACAGTAGCAGCAGTGACACAAGTCACACACAGTGACACATAGGACAGCAGTCGGTCTCACGTGAATGCAGTCGAGCGATGGCAGGGGTGCGAGGGCCCCCAGAGTGCTCTCCACTGCAACGCTCAGCTTCCACCTCTGCAGACCGCATGGAGCATGGTGTGTGTGGCAGGGCAGGTCAGGGTGGAGGAAGAGAGAAGAGAAGACAAGAGGAGAGGAGAGGAGAGGAGAGGAGAGGAGAGGAGAGGAGAGGAGAGGAAAGGAGAGGAGAGGAGAGAAGAGAAGAAAAGAGAAGAGAGGAGAAGCGAAGAGAAGAGGAGACAATAGAAGAGGAGAGGAGAGGAGAGGAGAGGAGAGGAGAGGAGAGGAGAGGAGAGGAGAGGAGAGGAGAGAAGAGAGGAGAAGCGAAGAGAAGAGGAGAGGAGAAGAGAGAGCACAGGCTATTCTCCTTGTTCTAAAACCTCCCTCTAGTAATTCAACCTGGTGATATGCAAGCAATATGAAAACACGACATTCTTCACACTCCTTTTCTAAGGAAACACAGCATATGCGCTCAAAGCTACAGAAACGCAATGTGATAGCATGCAGGCAGTGTGACACGTGCACATGTTTCGGGGCTGGGTTGTCCGCACTTGCATTTGTGAACACTGAGGGCTGCGCTGCTGCGTGGTGCTTCTTGCCTTTGCCCTTGCCTTGGGGTTGAATGGCTGGTGAACGGGGGGGAGGAGAAAAATGGGTTCAGACGCAGCAAGGCCACTGAGAAAGCTCTGTCGAGGCTGATTCCATGGCTACAGCTTATTAACAAACAGGAGAGGGAGAAGAAAGCCATAGGCAGTCACAGACAAAGCAGTCACAGACAAAGCAGTCACAGACATTGTGTGGAATGTACGTGGGAAGGTAGGTTGTGGTCTCACGCGTTAAGCAGTGGCGGATGTGCAGAGAGTAGGTGCGGTGGAAGGGAGGGATGGTGAGATGCAGGATTGACATAAGGTGAGCCATGACCTGCACCCCCCCCCCCCCGCCCCCCACACCCACACCCACACACACACACACACACACACAAACACACACACACACACACATGGATGCATGCATGCATACACATATGCACACAGGCGCAAGTTCAAACATGAAGCATGCACAGGATAGAGCAAGGGTGGAATGCAAAGCATGCAGAGAAGCATGCATGCATGGTGGTGCAGTGGGAAGGCGCTTTTGGATGGGCTGGCTGCACCCGTGAAATCCTGAGCTGAACAACCCGTGAGTTTCAGTGTGAGTGAGTAGTGGTGCTGGTGTAGTTTTGAGTAGTGGTGCTGGTGTAGTTTTGAGTAGTGGTGCTGGTGTAGTTTTGAGTAGTGGTGCTGGTGTAGTTTTGAGTAGTGGTGCTGGTGTAGTTTTGAGTAGTGGTGCTGGTGTAGTTTTGAGTAGTGGTGCTGGTGCAAGGCCTGAGCAATGAGCATGGTATGACTCACTTGGTCCACCCGCGCTGCTATGACCAACGATGCCTTCTTGTCCTTGGGGGTTTTCTGCTCTATCACCCATGCATGCACGCACCAACACATGCACAAGCACATGCACATGCACATGCACACATGCACACGCATCGGCATACACATACACATCCACATGCATACACATCCACATGCATACACATACACATGCATACACATACACAGACACATATAGATACACATGCACTCCACATGCACATGCACACAGAGACACATTCTAGGAACCACGTGGCATATCATGCCCAAGCTGAACAAAGCATGCAGCATTGCATCTAGGCAAGCAGACAACAAGGCATCAGGCTGTGCCATGCATCTGGTGGAACACCAGGTAGAGGGATGGGAGAAAAACAGAACCAACTGAGACACCACCTGAGAAACCAGTCTTTCAAAAATCGACTGCTGTACAGTCAGCCCTTTCGAAATCACCTGCGCATCACCAGGGCATCACCTGGGCATCACCTGCGCATCACCTGCGCATCACCTGCGCATCACCTGGGCATCACCTGGGCATCACCTGGGCATCACCTGGGCATCACCTGGGCATCACCTGGAGGTTGACGATGACGATGCGGCCTCCATTGCGCAGCGCTCGCAGGGGAAGGTTGGCCGCTGGGGTGATCTGCAGACTGGGGGCGTGCGAGGAGCATGCGGGCGAGGGGAGGAGGAGGACGGAGAGGTAGAGGTGAGAGAGAGAGAGAGAGAGAGAGAGAGAGAGAGAGAGAGAGAGAGAGAGAGAGAGAGAGAGAGAGAGAGAGAGAGAGAGAGAGAGAGAGAGAGAGAGAGTGGGAGATTGCAAAAGATGAAGAGGCAAAAGAGAGAGACAGGGGATGTGAGAGGTGTCAAGGGGTGCACATGAGGTGGTATGCAGGGATGACGTGGCAGGTATGTGCGCACATGGTTTGCATGCATTAAGACGGAAGGAAGAAAGGGAGACAGGGAGGGTGGACGGACAAACGCTGACGCAAAAGAGGAAAAAGCGGAACGGAAAAGAGAAGGAGAGGAGGGGCGGAGGGAGGGAATGCGGGAGCGGGGGAGGTGGCACCTGGTGGCGAGGCAGAGCACAAGGTCGGCCTGTGAGCACTCGTCCTCTGCACGCTGCAGCTCCGATGGGGGCAGTGCATCCTGAGGGGCATGGGGTGATGGGGGGTATGGGGTGATGGGGGGCATGGGGCGATGGGGGGCATGAGGTGAGGCCGACAGGGCATGAGGCATGGGCACGCACAGTTACAGAGTATGGTGTGTGGAGAATGGGGTAACGGGTAACAGGGCAGATGGGAAGCATTGGTTCATATCAGATGGCAAGGCCACATGCCTCATGCCCCATGCACAATGCCCCATGTGCCATGTTCCATGTGCCATGTCCCATGTGCCATGTCCCATGTGCAATGTTCCATGTGCCATGTTCCATGTGCCATGCCCCATGTGCCATGTCCCATGTGCCATGCCCCCCATCCCATTCCCCAAATCACACGCCACCCACACCCACCTCCCAGCCGAGCACGGAGTCTCTGCGGCGAGGAGTCGTTCTCCCAGCGCCACGCACGCCACAGGAGTGTAGCAGCGGCAGCAATACTCATGCCCCACTGCCCCCCCTCACCCCGTGCCCCATAGCACACAACCCCTCCCTCCCCCCACCTCCCAGTCGAGCACGGAGTCGCGCAGGCGGGGAGCCGTGCCCAGCGCCACGCACGCTGCTGCCGTGCAGCGCCGCCGAGACGCCTTCTGCCCAATGCTCTCCAGCTCAAACGCCCGCTGGTACCTGGCTTGATGCCACGCGATGGGATGCGATGTGTGCAGACACAAGCGGATGGGGGTGGAAAGCGCGCGGACGTGGAAAGGCGCAAGGATGGGTCAAAGAAGTCCCCACGAGCGGTGGGGAAGTACTTGTTCTTGCCACAAACCGCAAGCCAACAAGGGAAGGCAAAAATGCAGCCACATATCGTGACGGTGATAGGTCATGCAGGCGTGATGACAGCATGTGAGGAGGCGCCATGGAATGAATGTGAATTGGCAAGTGAGTGAGTGCATGAGAGCACAAGTCATGCAAGAGGCGTGCAAGAGGCGTGCAAGAGGCGTGCACGAGGCGTGCAAGGCGAGTGCAGGAGTGGAGCATACTCGGCCCCGCAGCGGTGGCAGAGCTCTCGGAAGCAGCTGCCATGCAGCTCCACCAGATGGCTGCGCGGCACCCCCGAGCGCGCATGCAACCCATCCACGTTCTGATGCGCGGTGGGTACAGGTGCGTGGGGGGGAGAGGAGACGAGTGATGGAGAAAGGACAGAGGGGGTCAGGGAGAGTGTGTAAGAGTGTGCAAGGAAGAGGGGATTCGGGATGTGGATGGAGAGAAGGGAGGGACGAGAATCGAGGTGGGTAGGGCAGAGATGGTTAACTGGTTGTGAGAGCAAGAGGCAACGAGCTGTGCTCGTAGACGAACGTTATGACATTTGATGATTCTCAAAACCACATCAAAGGAAGCCGCGCCTAGCACAGTCTCCCTCCCCTGCTCTCCCTCTCTCCTATAAATCACATACTCATACACACATGCGCGCACGCACGTAAATACACACACACACACAAACACAAACACACAAACACAAACACACACACACACACACGCACACACACACACACACACACACATACCCTCCTACTCCCTTAAATACGAATGCACACACTCTCCCAGACCCATGCAGCCATGCCGCACCTGGCTGATGATGCAGTGCACGCGACCGAGTCTGAGCAGGTGCAGCAGCGCCATGTGTGTGAGCGACGGCACTGCATCCCCAAACGCCTTCATGCTGCTCGGCAGGCTCTGCCCCTGCCTCTGTTGCCCCGCCCCGCACACAGACGCCGGGGGCGGTGGCATTTCCACAGAGAGATGGACAGAAGGACGAACGGGAGGACAAACATTCAGACAGAGGGGCACGCAAACAGAGGGACGAGAAGAAAGGGATTGAAGAAGAGGAAGCCAGAGATGGGAGTGGAGCGAATAGAGAGAGGAGGGCCAGAGGTCGTAAGAAAAGGGTAGCGGGAAACGGGGATGGAGAGGGAAGGGTGGTGCGGGAGGGAGGCAAGCAAAGGTAAGATACTCATTCACCCAACCCATCCATCACAATGGAACGTACCCGTGCAACTACACCCCGCCCCCTTCCTCCTATGTTCAACCCCCACTCACCTTGTTGCTCAGGGTTTCCCTCTCCCCTTTTCATTCAATCCCCACTTCCCCGCCATTATCCCTCCCTTCCCCTCCCCTCCCCTCCCCTCCCATCCCTCTCCATATCCACCTCCCCGTCCCCTCACCACCTGCAGCGTCCCTCCACCACCCACCTGCAGCGTCCATATGCCCGAGGGCCCTCGGAAGTCCGGCACGCCTGCTGCAGTGGAGATGCCTGCTCCCGTGAACGCCACCACGCGCTTACTCTGGCAGGGCCAGGGAGGGAGCGGAAAGGGAATTTGTAAGATGGGCGGAAAGGGATGGACGGGGCGGGGGCGGGATGGGATGGGAGCTGTGGTGTGGAATGATGAGCGCGTGGCGAGACGAGGGAGAGACACGGGTTCCCAGTGTTTCAGAGAAGATCGTACATGGAGAAACTGGCTGTGGTGGTATGTGCGCATGGAGAAGCGAGGAAGGGGTGCAGGCAGGAGCGCGTGGTAGGACAGCAGGAGCACGTCGATGGAAGGAAAGGCAGGGCAAGAGGAAGGAGTCTTACGGAGATGAATATATCGACCAGCTGGTGTAGCTGCCCGAATACGGTGGTGAGGATGGCGAGACATGGCAAGGGATGGGATGGGATGGGATGGGATGGGATGGGAAAGTATGGGGCGAGCATGGGGATTGGGGAAGAAAGGTAAGTAGGCATGAAAACTCGCATGCATGGATCCATGGATGGATGCATACATGCGAGCATGCATGCACGGTAGCACTTGGTTGGACTGATATTGCCCTGGCAAACAAGCCGAGAAAGAGCAGCATGCTGGACCTGGTTCTTCCAAACCCTAGCGCAATACGATGCTGGCCTCGCTGCAACTCCCCTCACCTCCTAACTCTCTCTCACTCGCTCGGCCATCCCCCTCTTCTTCCCCCCCACCACCCACGGCGCACCTTGCGGCGGAGCGCCTCCCCCGACTCCTCGTATTCCGGCGACCCCACGGTCCCCACGTCCTCGCGGTACGACAGCTTCGCCGCGTACCCCGCCGACATGCCCGCACGTTGCACACGTTGCAAACGTCGCACAGGGCGCGCAGGTCGCACAAGCTGCACACGCCACACACGCCGAATGGGCCGCAGAGGCCTTAGACCGCACAAGACGCGCAGGCCCCCCCCACCTAGGTTCGCACAGCGGTCGCCTGCGCAAGGTAAGTATGTTTCAGACGAGTCGCGAGCCCATACTACTCTAAACCGTGTCGCGAAGGTTGTACCGCGCGTTTAAACAACTCGGCTGACAGGAAGTTCGCGGTCAGCCTATAAGTACTCACGCAGGCAATGTCACGGTCGCAGCTGCTTGTCGCCTATCAAAAGCTGTAGCGTCACATCACAGGCGAGTCGAAGCCCTGGGGGAATGGAAAACAGAAATTCTCGGTCGCCTGTCACATTTCAATTCAGCTGAGCTCATTCGAGACCGCGACGTCGTTTCACCCAAGCCAAGGTTGGGTGCGGTTGGCGTGGAATGTTTACATTACAATTCTGTGAAGCTACTAATTTCTGTACAGTGTTTCTTTATATAAATGTACATGCATTCGTTACAGTAACTCGGCATCTTTCCTTTGTGACCTCCACCGCCGCGAGTTCGAATCCAGCTGTGCGCAGTTTTCCTACCTTACCCCACCAGTAGTGTTCGGTGTGTTCTTGTGCAGGGAGACCAACACCAGCCCAGCCCTGACACATACCACCACATGCGCGTCGCGTCTCATCTTCCACTCTCCTTGCAGTATTTCTGAGCTGCCCGCTGCCTGAACTAAGTTTGCGCGACTCGCGAGGCGATTCTATTCCGAGGTTCCTAAATGCCCCGCGTACGAGATTCACCCGAGGATTCCTCACAGCCTCTCATCCCCGACAGCCGCATAGCCCTCAATGCACCGGAACCGCCCGACGGAGAAACGGGAAATTCCGCGGGGAGCGTGGCGGGTTCGGAGCATATATCCGCGCAAGCGCAATTGGAATCCCTCCCAAGCGGCGCAACTCGAGCGCGTATGCCTTGGTGGGGCGCGCCCCTCCTCTGCCTCGCGCTCGTCGCCGTCTCTTCCGCCGGCGCCGTCACGAAAACCATTCGCGACGCCGATCCCGTCGCCGTTGCAAGCTGGCGACTGCAGGCGTCGTCACTCGTTCTCCTTCCGGGCTTCTTATTCGAGCTCATCCAATGCCTGCTGACGTGGCGCAATCAGCGCAGTCGCCGCGAGCGCGTCGTTGGTCCCACTGCACATCCAATCGGAGAGTCTCTTAACGAAGCCGAATCTGCGCGAATCCTTCCCGAGGAGGATCCCGATATTCCTGAAATCGAGCAGCAGCAGCATCTCCCCTCCCCTCCACTCCCCCCTCCGCTCACCCTCCTCCTCCTCCTCCTCCTCTCCGCCTGCGCGCTCGCCCTCCACTTCGCGCTCTGGATCCTCTCCCTGCGCCTCACCTCCCTCGCGCACTCTCTCCTCTTCGTCTCCACGCCCCCACTCCTCCTCGCCCTCGCGCATCTCGTCTCAGGCGCGCCCCTCTCGCGCGCAGAGGCGCTGGGGACGCTGCTGGGGGGGGTGGGCGCAGCGGTGATGGCGCTGGGGGGAAGTGGGGGAGCTGGGGGGGGCAGTAATGGTGCTGGTGGGAGTTTGATAGGCGTGGGAATCGCTTCTGGTGCTGGTGCTGAAAGCAGCAGCGGTGGTATTGGTGGTAACGGTAGTGGTGGCGGTTTTGGTAACGGTGGTTTCCTTGGTCGTGGTAATGATGACGATGATGCTGTGTCTGTGCAAGGGGATGTGGCAGCACTGCTAGCAGCAGCAGCATTCGTGGTATACGTGTGGGTGGGAGGGAGAGTGCGCAAGTCCCTCCCCCTGCATCTCTACGCCCTGTCTGTGACTGCAGCTGCTGGAATCATGCTCGCTGCTGCTGCCTGCCTCACACCCCTCATAGACCCCTCGCATGCCTGCCCTCCCCATGCCAGTACAGCACATGCTGCTGCTGCAGGAACAGTAGCAGGAGCAACAATAGCAGGAGTGCAGTTACCAGGCATGGCATCACGGGCAGCAGTTGCAGCAGGAGCTGGAGTGGGGATGGCATCAAGAGCAGGAGCAAGATCGGGAGGAGAAGCAGGAGCAAGAGCAGGAGAAGGACTACTGATAGCTCCACAACCACTGCAACCACTGCCCCCACCCCCACTCCCACCACTGCATCTGCCTACTCCGCCTCCACCCACCCACTGCACCGCATGGCAGCCCCTAGCCTGGCTCTCTCCCCCGTTCCTTGCACCCACGCTCTTCCTCGCCCTGGGCCCAGGCTACATGGGCCACACAGGCCTCAACGCTCTCCTGCGCTACACCACGCCTCTCGTCATCGCCATTGCAATCACCGTCGAGCCCCCGCTTGGCTCGCTCATTGGCTGGGCTATCGGCCAGTCAGGTGCTCCAGATGCTACAACGTGGGTTGGGGGGGCGCTGATGGTTGGGGCGACGCTGTGGGTGGCACTTGAAGGCGAGCGGGCGAGAGGGCGGCAGTGAGTGCAATGAGGAGTTGATGGCAATGATGGCCTGATGTACAGTACCGATAATAGCATCACCGGTAAAGCTTTTCATGTGCAGAATACTGTGTTGGTTGTATATAGCCTGCGCTCATATTCTGCAGGACAGAATTCTGCCATCATTTGATGCTGCACAACTCAACGGAACTGTACAAAATTGTTGCACTGTACATAGAAGCGACCTCGTTTTGTCCAATGCATACATGAAAGAATAATGAAGGGTTCTAACCAGATCAGCACGCAACTTCAATTCAGTGCCTTGCCCGAGAATGATATGCGCACAGAGGATGGTGCAGCAGGCCAGGCACAGTTGACTGCAGTGCAGGTTGCCTCATCAGCCTGAATCCGCTTCTCATCACTATTGCTGTTGATGCTGCTGCTGAGCTGCTGTTTGTCACTCACTCTATTCCCCCCGAAACTGAAACGTTTCAGTATTTACCGGTATGTACTCGCATGCAAGCAAGTGCTGCATGGTTGCCTTCATGATGCCTAGTGTTGCCATCTTTCTCCTGGTCACTCTCTCCCATTGCTCAATCCCCTCAGATGCTTAGAATACAAGCCGCACATCCACTCCACCACCACTCTCCTCTCTCCGGTTTCTCACGCTTGCCTCCCCATTTCCCTGCGCCATCGCTACCCCACCTCCCTCCCCATCATCTCCTAATCTGCCATCTGCCACTCTACTGCTGCGCACACTGCCTGTCCCTGTCACCACCATCCCTGTCAACCCCTCGCTCCCTCCCACCAACCCCGCCCCTTGCCCCACCCCCCCTGCCTCAGACTCTTCTAACCCCCTCTCCATATCCACCACAGTCCCTCTACCTCCTTCCTCCGACCTCCTACTCTCCCCCACTCTGCTCCCCGGTCTGCTCCCCCCCACGCTCCCCTCGTCCACCCCAATCCCCTCTGGAGGATCCAGCGAGATCATGAACCCTTTGGCAGTGTCGAAATGGTAGAGCATGACAACGAGGAGCAGGGAGGAGAGCAGCATGGGGATGGGGCCGAACAGCCAGAGCAGGAGCGGGAACGCGCAGTAGAAGGCGCGTGTGCCGATGGTGTAGAAGTTGCTGCCACGTGCCAGCACTGCTGCCACGTAGTCTGGGGACAGGCCCTGGGCTTGCGGCCCTAAGGGTATGTTGATGAGGAAGTTGACGTGGTTGGTGTAGCGAATAGACTGCAGGACGGGAGTGTGTGGTGGTGGAAATTGGGATGGGAAAAGGAGAGGGTTGAGGAGGTCGGAATGGAAATCAAGTGGGGGATACACTGATTTTCAAAAAAGAAGGCTGAAATGTTCTGCAAGCTAGAAGGGTGTGCTGGGATGAAGTAGGCCCACCGGGTAACCGTGATCAATAGCATAACAACGAGCTTCGTAGACAAGTAACAGTGCAGAAATCAGAACACATAGAATCACCTGGACATGGCAGACGAAAGCGAAGAGGAAGCAGAGGAAGATGGAGATGAACTTGACCGCCACAACAGCAGGCGCTCTGGACCCCAGAGTGACAGCAAACACGGACGCCTTGACGTCCGCCGTGGCCGCAGAGGTGATGAAGGCGGCGATGCCCGAGGAGAGGATGATGGCCGTGGTGGCGAGCAGCGTGGACGCCATGATGTGGTTGCGCAGCGTCTGCACTGCCAGAATGCTCTTCTTGTCCACGTCCTGAGGGAGGCCGGGGGAGGGAGGTGGGCGATGTTTGACGTGCGTAAAACAAACAAACAAAAAAAAAAAACAAAAAAAAAAATCAGATCACGCCCAGAGAGGAGGAAGGGGGGGTGGAAAGGGAGGGAAGAGAGGGGGTTGCTCCGTGCAACTAGCGAAGGCAGGTCTTGAATCAAATTCAGAGCTCTGAAAGAATAATTCAATAGAGTTGCAATTGAGTGGGTCGAAATTGGAATGGTTGTAGTTGAGAGTCATTCCATGGCCAACATCTTCCTCAACATCTCCTTTCTAGATGGATCACAAATGGGACCGGACGAACGACTGGTGGTGCGAGAAGGAAAGTCAGCTTCCCACAAGAATTTGACGACTACTCGAACACCCACCTTCATAATACTGTACACCCATGCTCGCCGATTCAAATGATTCACGCCGATTACGGTCTTCATGGGGTTCTGCGTTACTCGCATATATAGCACTATGTTGTAGAGTATTAGAACCGCCAACCCGACGGGAACTAGAACCGCGTCTAGGATGAGCTCCGGCGGTGGCGACGACATACTGCAGTTAACTAAAAAGCTTCAAAATTGTCCGAAGAATGACCGCGCACGCTATCAGTGATGACGGGCGTGGAGCGAGAAGGCGAAAAACAATACATGGACTGATTTTACGGTGGAATCAGGCTCTTGCGAAGGGCAATTCGCCAGCGCGGGTAAGACATTTTCCGGCACAACTGACTTCGGGACGGTGTGCTACCTTGAGACGCAGGTTAGTCAGAGTATACCGTACATGGATTTACTAATCAGAAAAGAATTGAGGTCTGCCATCACGAATAGTAAAAGCTCCTAGTCCCAAGGTGCAAGCGTGAGTAAGCTTGGAACTCGAAACGAGCTTTGCTGCGGTAATACAAGATTTCGCTAACGACTCGCGAAATCTTCCTTCAGAAGTTTCTCACTTTCGTCTTGTCTCATGCTCTCACTGGCCCGAAGTGCTTGGCGAATTTTGCCGAATCTCAACTAGGGTCTGGGGCTGTGATGGTAACTCTGCACACTGTACATCTGCACCAACAAGCACCTTCAATGTAAAGCATTACGCCGAACCGACACCCTCGAGACGTGCTTCTTGCAGTTTCGCAACAACCTTCCCCAGGCACGGAAGTTTCGCCAGCGGCATAGAGAAATGCTGTGCTCAGCCCCTCCCACCTATACAATCACCTTTGTTCCAGTCCAGATTCAATGGCTGCATAGTGGAGAGTGAGTTTGAACGTTTCTTGTAGCAGCGTCCATTAGAATGTGTTAAACTTGGGTACCACTTTCGGACAATTTGTATGAGGCAATTTGCCAGTCTTCAGATGATGCTACTTGTTCCAGGCAGCTGCACTCTCCACAAGGCATGAAGGGTAGATATGCTACGTTACCATCACAGACATCAAGCAGGCGCACATGCCTTATAAAGAAATAGAGGCAATGCCGTTTATGCACATAAGGGAAGGACATACTGGTGCAACCAGCACACCACCCAGCTGCTGCTTTCATTACCAACCAGCTCAGCAGGCCCTGAACACAGCATTCCCAGTGTCAACCCAACCCAACACCCAACCCAACCCAACCCAACCCACCCAACACAAGCTTACAACCCCAATCAACTGGAAGTAGTCCAGCCATAGCAAAGCACTAGATAAGCATAGCGAGCAGAGAGGGATACGGAAGAAGGGTACCATATGATGCATAGGCATCACCCCACAACGGCTGCATGTCGCCGCTGGCTTCAGAACCAATTTAGTCTCGGCCGCACTTTTAACTTGCCCAACGGTCCTCCAAACCAATTGGCCCTTCATGGCCTTCGTCATGCTCAGCCACAGATTTGCTATGGCAACACAGGACCCCCCTCCCCATTATTGTTACAATCACGATGCAACTCCATATGAGCTCATCAGCCAGCCATGAAACATTCACGACTTGCCATCCGTGTGAACTCCCGGGTATGTTGCAGCAGCGGCAGCATTCCTTGCAGCCGCGGCTGCTGCAGCACTGGCAGCGTCAGTGCCTGCATTGATTGGGTGGAACGCTGACACATGATGGAACGCAGCAGGAGCGCCAGTCGGGTGGAAAGCATGCTGCTGGCCTGCGTGTTGCTGAAACGCTTGAGCCGAAGCCATGGATGCACCAGGAAAGTTGCCAACTCCGCTGAAGGGGTAGAAGCCCATTGCTCCTGCAAAGCCTAGGTCGAATCCAGCAATCTGCTGCTGCTGCTGCTGTGACTGCTGTTGTTGTTGCTGCTGCTGCTGCTGCTGCTGCTGCTGTTGCTGCTGAAGCTGCTGCTGCTGCTGCTCCTGCTGCTGCTGTTGCTGTTGCTGTTGCTGCTGCTGTTGCTGCTGCTGCAACTGAATCTGCTGCTGGTGCTGTTGCAGGCTGTTCATCATGAACTGCTGTGCCGCGGCCTCTTGGGAAGCCATCCCAGCAGCATCAGTGGCGGTGTTCCCTGCTGTGGCAGACGCACCTGCTGCCACGCTGGCAGCGCCGCTGTCCAAAAGCTGGTAACCACTGATCGCGCCACTGTTGATGCCTCCAGCAGCATTGCCTGAAGGCCGAGAGAGTTCCTCGTTGCTCGTTCCAGTACCAGGAGAATCGCTTACGTCATCGCTGCTTCCTGACACATCCTGCTTGTCGTTTCCACTGTCAATTGCTTGCTGCACGGATACGCGTTTCTGGGGAGGGCGTCGAGCGCGCTTGGGCTTTTTTTTGTCCTCGTCTTTACCAGCCGAGTTCTGATCGTCGGCTGACTCCCCATTTTCTTTCCTCGCCAGCTCTTCCAGTTGTTTCGTGTTTAGGAAGCGACCACCACAGCCACGAGCACGCCTCAACGCATGCTGGTGCCGTGACTCGTGAAGATAAGGCTGCAACGGAAGGAAACGAAGAAGAAAACATAAACAAAAAACAGCAACAAAGATGTAACAAAAATAAGTCAACAGCGAAGGAGCATACTCAGTTGCCATCCATCCAAGACTTCCTACTCGTAAGGTTGTAACCGACCTTGCGCGCCTTGACGAGCCTGTTCTCTGCCTCTGCTTTAGCCCGAGCCTGGCGGCGGCGCAGAATGCCATGATATTGCTTGGCGTTGACATACACTGGCTCCTCCTCCACAATCTCTGACGGCAACGCCATGCGTGCTTGCTGTTGCATCCCTAACAAATGTGGTGCCATCTGATAGCGAGGGAAATACGTAAAATAAAGAACAAACATCCATATTGAAAAGTATCATGACAGAAACCCAACATATAAAAAGTGAATCTTGTTTGAAGGAAAAACGATACTAATACGAAACAAGGACGGAATGGGAGATTCCAGGTTAACACGGGCGGACAATGATATTACCAGAGCCTGAGAGCCAAATGTCACTATGTTTCCATAATACGGGTCCGTTGTCGCATAAGGATAAGCGACGTGTTGTGCAGCCTGAAAAAAGGAAAAGAAAAAGAGATTATCGCAAACGACAGCCCAACAACGTTCACGCCAACCAGACCCCAACCCCCATCAACCAAAGCACAAAGCGACACACACAAACGGAGTTGAACATGCCATTAGTGTTGGACACAATCGTGTCGTGATAGCTCAAAAGACAAGTACGCCGGAGGGTGTCACACAGATCGTCATAAGGGAGACGCTAGACGGGTAAAAAAAAAAACATTGATCTAGAAGATCACAAGTAAGCAGGGAAACGTACAAGAGCGGCTGAGCCAAGGTCAACGGATACATGCGGTATGGTAATGTATTCAGTGTGTCCGCCTGGCATTCCGGAACCGGCAGCTGCTGCCGCTGCCGCTGCTGCCGCAGCGGCTGCAATATTTTGCTGATTTTGGTGATCTTCATGTGCCGCTGCAGCCATGACAGCCCCTGCGAACCGTGTGAAAGTTTTGAAAACGTAAGAGCAGGAGCGAGAAACTGAGTGGGAAAGAGGACAATGAAATATCAAGTGCACGGCAGATAAACAATATATAACATCTGAGTAGGTGCAACAAATATTTAACGAAATGGGAGACACGGGAAGACTGGATGCTAGCAAAGAAAAGAAAGAAAAAAAGCGGCATAACCTTCGTACCTGGATGTGTAGCCATGGATGTGCAGGGCTAAGCGCCCTATTTTGCTACTGTTAACAAGACGTAAGTCAAGAACCACGGCGCGCAGTGATGACAACACCCCTACGGAAACACAAAACGAGACAACAGGATAACCTGCCATAAAACGGGAGGGACAGAGTTCAGACTAGGAAGCCAAAAACCGGAAGATATCAATAAAATATCAACCGGATCCGCGACATTCCACGTCAGAGCTAGCCTTTATTGCGACATGGCAACGGCACGTAAGGGCAGCCATAGTTTTTAAGCGGCGCTAACCTGGAGGTAAGAGGTCAAGGTCGCACACAGCAGGCAGAGGGAGGGGAGGGGAGCGGAGGAGAGCAGAGAGAGGTGGAGCAAACCCTAGGAAGCGCCGAGCGTTGTTTGATTGGTTGCAGGACCACACGTTGTATACACACCGAATGGTTGCGAGCCAGCTGCTGGGGCCCCCCAGAGATGATGGGAGAACTGGTCATGCGTGCTTATGACGAGTGTGACAGTGAGACACAATTCGTGATGCTTCGAGTCCATTGGACGAGACAATGCTGCAAACCCCGATGCAGAGAATGTTTGGAGTGCACTGTTTCAGCATATGTACTGCTACTTTGACCGCAACAATACCCTACATTCCGTCTTCATATGCTCTTATCTACACTGGTTTAGCCAACAATATAGGTTTGAGCTTTTCTGCTTCGCACTTCCAACAAATGAGCTGTCAAAAGGAGAGAGCAATAGAATTCATTGGTCATTTTTCACAATCGCGGTAAGCATGATCTCGATATTAAAATGTTGCGTCAAAGAGCTACTTTATCTTTGATCGTTTGGCTCCACCTGCCTTGGCCGCAGACACCAAGGATGCTCGTTTTGGTCCCGTTACATCCAATGATTTGACATCCTTTAACGCACCCTCTGCCTGCTGCATTTGCCTGACAGAATCCAACACAGAACCTTCGGCCGCCCTGCCAGCCACAGCCCCACCGGCCGCTGCTACACCCCCAGGTTTCTTCCCAAACGGGTTGCACGACTTAACACTTCCTGCAGGTGCTTTCGCCCCACCCTCATCACCAGCACCTGCCTCCTCGCCTCTAGCACTACCAATGTCCGTGGCAGTGCCTTTGGCAGCCAATTGAGGGCTGGAGCAATCTGCAGCAGCAGGTGCATCAGAGCCCTTGGGATTCACTTTCGCGTTCTTCTGACCACCTGCTGCTGCTTTCTGGTTTGCCCCTGGGCCCTTCTTGACAAACATCGGTGCCAATGCTGCGGCTGCACTCTTCTGTGTCGAGGGAGGGGGGTCGGGACAAATGCGCTCCTTTCGAGGCGGCTCACTTACGGGCTGGTGCGGTTGTGGCTGCGGTGGCTGTGGCGGCTGTGGCTGAGAACGATTGGCACTGCTTGGTGGGTCAGGGAAAACTCGCGTTTGTGTGATTCGCTGCTGCTGCTGCTCCTTCCGTTGCTGAAGCCTCTGCTCGTCTTCTTCAGCTCGCAAGCGCTCCTGACATTAACAAAAACGCATGCAGTGGACAGACACGGAAACATACGTTTCACTGCGATCACTCCGCAAGTAGTCACTGTCCCCCTCACCCCCAGGAAACTAAAACCTGCGCTGACCACCCTCTCCCTCCCATACCCCCTGCTGCAGCCCAACAGCAGCATGCAGCACATAACCACTCAGCCCACCCCCGTCCACCGCACTCAACCGCTTCCTCACCTGCAGCAGCGAGTGCAGGCGTTCGGCGAGCACGGGCAGACGCAGAGCAGAGGTGAGCTTGACAGCGCCCTGCAGGCTCTTCCTCAGCGACAGCATTGTTCCCAGCTCCATCGCCCGCTCTAACTTGTCTCCTGGTGCATGCAGGCAAACAGGAACGGAGGAAAAAAAGATGGGGGAAAATGAGAGCAAGGGAGCAGGGGGTGTGGGAGGGAGGAGGGATGGTGGTGTGCAGAAAGGAAGAGGGAAATGTGTAAGCGGGAACAAAGGAAGAAAAACAAGTGACGGTGGGAAACTGGAGGGGTACCTTTGGCAGCAGCGACGAGCAGGCGCAGAAGCGTCTTGTCCCTCTCTGCCTCGAGCTTCAGCAGCTCCTCCTCGTCCTCTGCTGCTGCCAGCGCCCCCTGCTCCCCCATCTGCAATGCCTCGTCCGCCACTGCCCGCACCTGGGGAAGCAATCAAGAGCCAGAGGGTCGGGGGTGAGCAGGGCGTGCGTGATTCATTGTGTAAATGGCAAGCTGGTGAAGGCGATAACGGGTGGAATCTGTTGCCATGGTAATCTTCCCTTTCCACGTTCCTGGATGGAGGGGTTTTCTAAAGACGGGTCTATGTAGAGTGTTGAATGCCCCCCAATTACATTGCACACACACGAACAGTGGTAGGGTGCCAAATCTGAAGTCACCTGAAACCAAACAAATCATAGTCACTCACGTGTGCGGTGGCGAGGGCTGAGCGCAGGAGGTCCGCCTGGAGGGAGTCAGCTGCTGCGAGGTCTGAGAGGGCCAGAGGCAGCGCCAGAGGCATCTCTGATAGCACAGGCCGGGGGAACACCTGGGGAAGGGAAAGAGGAAAGGGAGGGGAGAGGGGAGGGTGGGATGGAGGGGGAGGGGAAAGGGTTTGGAAAACAACGTCAGAAAGAGGGAATAGTGATTGTGCGGGTGTCTGCATGTGCGCGTGCGTGTGTGCGAGAGCGTCCCCGGAACAAGCACTGAAGCAAAGCGAAAAAGAAGCCGCGTCCCTTGTGATGTACAGACAATGAAGACTGGCCACCTTAAGCAAGCAAGCAGGCAGGCAGGCAGGCATCCAGGCAGGGAGCTGCCTTTCCCGCGTACCGAGGGTTGCGGGCAGGCAGTGGTGCAGACGATGAAGAAGATGGCTTGCTCCCTGAGGTCCAGCCCCACCATCCAGAGCCGGTGCGACTCACTTGTAGGCGATGCACTCGCACTGCCAGGAAACAGCGCCACGCGTAGACAGGCGGATTGTGGAGTGGGGTGGGGTGGGGTTGAAGGGGGTGTGGTGGGTTGGGTTGATTTGGATGGGGTGGGCGTGATGCGTGTTCCAGAAGGCAGGCCAAGGATCAAGCGCAAATGCACTTTCTCGCAGGCAGAGTGATGCCTGTAACAAGCAAGTGTCCTTGGAGGTTGGAGGGTGGAACATGCATATCCGAACGTGTGCAGTGCAGTGGGGAGGCACAGGAGCAGGGGGCGCACCTGAATATGGGCATCCAGCAGCCTCCAAAGTCTGGAGAGAGAATGCGCACCACACCCTGCACAAGACAGGAGGAGGACGGTTGGGCGTGAATGGAAGCGGGGGGGCACGTTTTGAGACAAGTCGAGACACGAAAGTCGGACATCAAGGGCTTGGGCTTGGGGTTCAGCAAGTAGGGTTTACGGTTTTAGAGAAAATACTGCAGTGAAGAATAGGGAGATACACATAAACAGTCAGAGATACACATAACTGTGATTCTGATTCTGGAAACAGAGGAGCCCCACTAACCCTCCCCTTCCACCACCGCCCTTCATCAAATTTCCCTTCCCAGCAGCCAAGTCACGGATCCTGGGAACAAGCGCTACTCACCTGGGAATCGTATGTGGCAACTGTGGGCACGGTGGTGTGGAGCGGTGCAGAGGGGTCGGAAGAGATGGTGGAGAAGCCGAGCCAGGCGAGGGAGGCGCCGGGGGAGAGGGCAATGGGCGTGCGCAGTCGCAGGGCGGATGAATGCATGTCCAGGAGCAGCATATGCATGGCCTGATGGGGGACGGGGGGAGAGGTAGAGAGAGTGGAGAACCGGGGGGGAGGGGTGAGGGATGGAGGTAAGGGGGGAGTTTTGAGTTCGGCCAGAGGGCGGGCAGATGAATGCATGTCCAGGAGCATCAGGTGCATGGTCTGATGGGGAAAGGGGGAACGGGGAAGGGGAGGGGGGTGAGAAGTGGGTGCTTCTTTCAGAGAGGCTGGAGAAGAGAAAAGGAGAGCGGAGCAGGGTAAAGGAACACAGTGCATAACAGAGTAGCCCACAGTGCAAAAATAAAAGGGGGGGGGGGGGGGGAAGAGGGGGGGTAAAAAGATGAGAAAGCGAGTCAGAAAGAAGTGCAGGCACGCTCACATGCACCCACCCACACCCATCCACAAATCCGCCCACACCCACACCCACCTTTGCCCATACCCACCCTTCCACACCCACCCCCACCGACCTGGTGACCATCAGGGTACGGCCCTGCGGCATGGAAGGCGATAGCAAGGAACGCGCCCTGCCCCGCCATGGCCACCACAGGCCCCTCCAGTGACACGATCGCACGCTGCAGCCCCGTGTCCGAGAAGATGCGCAAAAAGTTCCGGGATGTTGCGGCCGCCACCCACTTGCGGCCCACGGCAATGGCTGTCACCTCCTCCCCTGCTGGCAGGCGCACCGACCACTGCGGGAGGAGGAGGGGTTGGGGAGGAAGGGGAAGAGGAAGAGGAAGAGGAAGGGGATGGGGGAGTGGAATGAGGAGAGATGTGATTGACGTGATGCGGAGACGATGAGAGGATACGAGAGGCCAAATGCGCAACGAGTAGCAGCAGTGAGTGTGCACGCAAGTGAGAGCGCTGACACAAGTGAGTGGGCAAAAACATACATCGGAGGAGGGAGCCCAGGAGGTGAAGGGGCGGAAGAGAATGGTGGAGGGCTGCTTGGCGCGCGCAGGCGAGGCGAGCGCGTACCCCCTCTCCCCCAGCACGCCCATGGTGCACCCGTAGTAGTCCGTCAGCGCTGGCACACGTGTCACTGCTGCTGACGTGTCATGGAAGTCCACCTGGCAGCGCGACACGGGACACAAGGGACAGCAGGGGAAGAACCGAGTGAAAACGATACCAAGAAAGCCTTGCTGTCAGAGGTAGGCTTTTCCATCATGGCCGTGCTGCAACAATTGCACCACTCACCTCCACGTGCGCTGTATCGCTCTCTGCGTCCATGCGAGTGGTAACCCGCCCCAGCATGTCGTATGCCAGGTACCGCAGCCGCACCCCCCCCGGCCCCTCCACGCCCTCCTCCCCCTCTGCACTGCTGCTGCCCGCTGCTGCTGTGAGCGTGGTTGAGCCGGGTTGGAACGGCGGCTGGAGGAAAGGGGGGGAGGGTGAAGCGGAGAGTGGGCAGGAAAAGAAAAAATGGGCCGCGGGAGGGAGGAGGGGAAGGAGACATTGAGATGCTGTATAAGGATGCGACGTTAGGAGGAAAGGGGAATGACTCAAGGGTGACGAAGAAAAACTGGAGGAAAAGGAGTAGCCAGAGGTGAGCAGCTTTTGTGATTGATTAGAAGGTTGATGTCACGACAGCAAGTGCTGTTGGGAGCAACAACACTGCTGCGCTGACAGATAGACACGGGATGCAATCGATTAAAGCATCAGAACGAAGAAAGGCGATTTAAATGACACGAAAGTTCTGCACTAAGAACCCACCTGCATGAACACCACTGGAGCAGCCACAGCACCCTTCCTCTCCCCACGGCTCACGTGTCCCTTCCCCCCACTCCCCTTACCACCATCTCTCTTCGCGCCCCCCCTCCGCTCCTCTTCCCGCTCACCATCCCACCCGCCCACTTCGTCCTCCCTGTCACTTCCATCTTCCACCACGTGTCGCGCCCCTCCCCCACCTCTCCTCCTCCCCGCATGAGCGCGAAACCCCCCCTCACTCTCCTCCTCTCCTCCTGATTCCGCTCCCGCGTCCCCCTCCCCCACTCCGCCCCTGCTTCCCCACTTCCCCTTCCCCCTGCGCCCCTCGTCATTCCCAAGATCGTCCTCCCACACCTCCTGCCCTCCACCGCTGCCCTCTCCGCCCGCCTGCCCCGAATTTCCGCTTCCGTTTCCGCCGGGCGCGTCATCAAAGCGGAACAGCTCCTCCCGAGTACGGCGGGCTGAGGGGACAGCGCGGGGGGATTTGGGGAAGGGCGAGGGGCGAGGGGAGGAGGGGGAAGGGTAGGGGCGGAAAGGAAACAGAGACTGTATAATGAGACAGATGCGAGCGCATAATCACAAGTTCTCAAGCTCCACCATTGCAGACCATCTGCATTCATCTTCCGCGCCAATCACAAAGCTCCATCCCCTTTCGCTATCTCCAACCAGCCGCCCCTTCCCGCTCCTCCTCTTCCCCTTTCCCCATTTCACCATTTCACCATTTTCCCCCCTGTCGCCTCCCCCTTCACCCGCGCTCACCCTCTTTCTGCTGCTCGATGTTCGCCCCTCCCCACTGCGGCGCCGCATTCGGCGCGGGCATGTGGGGCGGCACGGGGCCGTGCCACACGCCGCAGCAGCCGGCGCAATCAATGGCGACGATTGCGTTATCCGCAGGGCTCCATTGCAGGCCCGTGATTGGCGCGCCGGCATCGACGCGGCACACGTCCAGATCGAACGCGCCGTCCACCGCCTCCACGTCCCATGCCGCCACCGTGCCGTCCGAAGCGCCGGCCGTTGCAAAGTAACGGCCGCTGGGGCACCAGGCAAGAACGGCGACTCGAGACTTGTGCACCCCCTGGGGAATAACGAGAGTTGCCGAAATCGAAACACAGGAGAACGAAACAATTGTGGAGGGGAAGAAGATTGGGGACAAGCGGCGGAACACAGTCAGGTAGTGTGGTTCAGATCAAGATGAAAGCCGACGCCGCAGGTCGCGCCAGGTCGCACCTTGAGTGTGAGCATGACGTCAGCCGTGTCGCGGTCGTAGCAGACCACGTCGCAGTCAGTCCCGGGCGCCGCTAGGAAGCTGCCGTCTGGGTGCCATGCCACGGCGCTCCGACCCGCCACCGCTGCCGCCGCGCCGTCTGCCTCCTCCTCCGCCGCCACCGCGTCGATCACGGGGGCGACGCCGCGCAGCGTGTGGAGAGGCTGGATGGGGTTACGGGGTTGGTGGTGAGACACGGGCGGGAAAACAAAGACAATCCACTTTGTAAGGGTCGAAACTCAGGCGCTTAGAATCAAGTGCTAGGACATAAATCATTATGCAACGCGAGACTTAACTGAGCGCGGAGTTACAATCTGGAAAAGCGCTGGTACTCACGGACAGCCTGGACTCCTGGCGGCGACAGAGAAGCGTACTCTGGGAGCCTCGCTCCGCGCAGCGAGATAGTCATGCCGGTTTTAGAACATGCGGGCGTACTTAGGCGTCGAGTGTGCTGCTGCCTCGCGTAAGCATGGGTGGACTCACCTTAGCCTCAGATATGCTCCAAATAATGACGGTTCCGTCCGCGTCGCACGACGCAAGCAGCTCGTTCTTCGGGTCGAACGCCACGCTCAGCACGGGAGCGTCGTGACCCTGAGGATATGGCGGGCATTCCAGGGGAAATGGTGGGTATAACATGCTAAACTACTTGTTAAAGGGGCTTCGCAGTCATGGCTAGAAGGACGTCCCGAAATGTCTTGTTACTGGAGGAGCTCAAAGAAACGACTGGCCATACTCGATAAAACATACTGAATGAGTGCAGGGGATCGACGATAGAGAATGTTGAATGGGGTTTCGCACCTTGAGCACGGAGACGATAGAGGAATCGACGGTGGATATGACTTTAATGCCCTCGTCGTCGCCCGCCGCCGCGAGAAGCCCGCCGGAGACGTTGAATGCGAGCGCGCGGATGGGAAGAGTGAACCGAGTCACGTTGCTCTCGAACCGCGCAGCTGCGAAAAAGAAGGTATGCGGTGTGAGACACTCAGGGACAAAAACGACTCGAAGATACAGCTGCAGTCACACGAGCACATATCGATACAGTCACAGTTTCCTACCAGGATACGAGTGCAGTTTCACTGTGTGGTCCTCCGCAGCCGTGGCGAACTTATCGCCCATGGGACTCATCGCCAGCGTCGTCATTTGCCCCTTATGCTCCACGCGCACCGTCCGCGGATCGCCCAGACTCGGCGCGCCGTCGCCGTCGGACGACGCGTTGCACGGCTTGATGGGAAACAGTTTGACCTGATTGTCGGCGCCGGCTGTTAGAATGTTCCGGCCGTCAAGGTCGAAAAGGATGCTGCATAGGCCCGGCTCGTGGGCTGCTACCGTGAGGAAAGACTTGGACTTGCGCTTCAGGAGGGACGACCCCCCGCCGTGATCGTCGCGCATGATCGCTAGCTCGTAAGAGTTATTTTAGTGCAGCTGCAACAAACGAATGATGAAGAACAGGACGAACGTGAAAGAGATTCTATTGGCAGCGTGGGAACATGTCTAGGCCTACGACTCGCTACTCTGACTGATGATTTGTGCTTCGGAAAGTGGGGAGAAAACGTTTATGGAAAATGGGTGAGGTTTCATGTTGTGGCGTAAAGGAGAAGCCGCGGGGCGACAGCAGCAGCGGCACACGGATTCGTGGTTCGTGATTCGTCATTGAAGCCCCCAATTTTAGTTGCGCACCTTTGCTTCGCGGCTGGTGGAGCTGGCTGGGTTGCAGCCTTGGTGGTCCCTGGAAATTGGTCAGTCGGATCCTCGTGCGTGACAGGCTGGTTTCAAATTTCGAAAGTTTGGCTTTCAAATTTTCCGAGCTATACGCTTCTCCGTTTGCTATTTTCGCCAGCGAAATGTCAGCCTAGTCATCACACAACGAAATACATTTTCCCCGGCCACATAATAGCTAATGCACCATATTTCCGACTTTTAAAAATAAAATACTACTACAGCGAGGGTCAAGAAACCTGGAGGCATCAAATCTGAGAGCTAATTAATCAATCCAACACTATGTGGGAAACTTCCTACAATCCATGTCAGCAACCCATTTCATCATTATCTTGGCAAGGTATGTCTCGCTTACAGTAGAGCCGATCCTGGCAGTGCGGCCTGAATGCCGATCTTGCAAACCAGAAAGTTATATAACCTAAATGTATGGACTATCACCTATTCGATCACGACTAGGCTCCAGCGTGCGACTCTGTCCAACATGTGGACAAGCGGTCCTTTCGAAAATACCTGAAAAATCAGCTGACAAATGCACAGACGGTGCATTTGCAACAAGGGAATGCGGGATAGAAGCTGTGCAAGCATTTGGAACGGGAGTGTGTGGGAGAGGCACGGGGGAAGCGCGGCGCTGCTGAATGGTCCAAATTATGTTGGCTGCTGCTTGGGTGAATGGATGAAGGGCGTCCAAGAGTGACGAGGAGTATCCCCCAGGACAGTTTGCTACTGCGTAGACACCAACAAGGTTCGAGCCTGGGAGGTGATCGTGGGAGGGGGGGGGGTGTGGGGAGGAAGTAGGGGTGAAACGGTACACATGTTAAGCACACAGGATATGGTGGGACGGTACATATGTTAAGCATCACCAAATAAACGCACCCACAAGCACATACTACACTCTAGAAAGGGGGATCATAAGTATAGCTGAGGTGGCGCGGAGGCGTGGTCATATAACAACATGGAGCGACACGTATGGCAAGGTGATCATGCAAATGCAAGCATGCATGCATGGCTTGTTGATATGCATGGATGCATGGTCAGTGCACAAGGGCATGCACACGCACGCACCGACAAGGAGCGGCACTCCCAGAAAGCAGTGCACAGGAGCATGGCCAGGAGGAGTCCCCGAGGAGCGAGGGTCGGAGGCGGGGTGGTTGGAGATGACTGGCAGGCGCGAGGTGACGGGAGCGCCAAAGAGCGTGTTCATGTTGGCAAACACCAGCCCGCTCTGCGCGTTCCGAGCATGCCACTGCTGCAGGCCGGGTGACCAGGCTATGTTGGAGATGGCGTGGGTCTGTGGAGGCCGGAGGGTGGTTCGGTGGAGGGGATGGGGGGAGTTGAGGGAGAGGTGGGATGCGTTGAGGTGGGAGATGGGTTAGGCCGTGCGGGACTGCATCGGAAGACAGCGAAGGAAGGATAACGAAGGGAAGGTGGAGGAGGAAGGACGTGGGCAAGAGGGAGCGTTGACTCACCTTGATGTAGGGCGTGCCGTCGGCGTTGTGCAGCACACTGGCAACGAAGCCAAAGGAGGAGTGGAGGAGAGAGAGCAGTGCGGAGAGTAGGTACTCCCCCACCACGGATCCGTTGGGGGTCTGCGATAGGCCAGCCGGGGGAGACAATGAGCGTGTGGGGGGTTGGAGGAGGAGAGGGGAAGGGAGGGTGAGTGGGGAGGAGGTGGAGGGAAAATTTCAGGATGAGACCGAGGGGAATCAGGGTGGAAGTGGGGGGGGCGGGAGATCAGGGTTGGGTAGTGCGGGGAACAGCAAGGGTGCAATGGCTGTCTTGGCACTTTCACACGATTGAAACCGAGCAATCTTCAACCAAACCCACCCCACCCCAACCCACCCAACCCCATCAAGCAGTCCTGCACACACAGCATACCGTGTCTCGCAGCAGTGCCTCATAGGCTCCCGACACGTGTGCCAGCAGTCGCTCCTGTGCCACACCGCCCCTGCCACCAGCCCCCCCTTCCACCACCGCACTCCCCTCTGCTGCCGCCCCTTCTTCCGCTGCCACTGCACTGCTGCCTGGTCCCACTGCCTCTCCCTCTACCCCTGCTGCTGCCACTCCCGCTGCTCCTGTTGCTACCCCTGCTGCTTCCGAACTCCCACGCTCCATCCGTCCCAGCCGCGTGGGCTGCATTCCCCGTGCGGGCAGGCTGCAAACAGGGGAGCCCGGCAGAGAGGCGGAGGAGGGGGAAGCGGCGGACCCAAGCAGGCGAAGGGTCTCTGCGAGCACATCACTGGCTGCTCGGTGCAGCTGCACCCGCTCTGCTGATGCCACGCGTGCTTGGGAGATCCCAGGATTAGGCTCTGTTGTTAGCGCCTTGCGGTCAGGTGCGGCAGTGGTAGCTTGGGACGCAGCCTTGTTGCTGCTGCTGTCCGCGGAAGCAGCAGCAGCAGCAGCGGCGGCAGCGGTGGCGGCGGCGACAGCAGCAGATGTTGCGAAGAATCGGTTGCGCTCTCGAGTCATCTCGACGACACTCAGCGATCGCGCGCGCTTGACAGAGAGGGGCAGCACAGGTGCTGCTGCCAACCCGCCACCGCCACGCACAGCAGCAGTGGCAGCAGGAGCAGGAGGAAGAGGGGAGAAAGGCCACTGCAGCCTGGTCCTACCCACAGGAGGAGTAGGAGGAGGAGGAGGGGGAAGAGTGGTGGGGTCAGCGGCATTAGATGCATGTGCGTGTAGAGACAGTAGCCCCACACCTTCTCCCCGAGGCAGTACCTGCACACCTCCCCCCTGCGCCTCTCTGCTGCCCCTGCCGTCCGTGCCCCCCACAGTGCGAATAAAGCTCGGAGATGGGGTGCGCGAGTGGGAGCTAAAGCGACCAACAGCACCACCGGCAGCACCAGCAGCAGCCTGTGAGTGTGACCGCTTATGCACGAGCGTGCCAGTGTGGGCTGGCGTGCAGTTACCCTGCATCGTATGCACGGGCGTGTTGGGCTGTGTGGATGCCTGCCTGGGAATAATACCAACTGGTTTCCTTTCCACAAAGCTGCACACCCCACCCTGCTGCTGCTGCTGCTGCTGCTGCTGCTGCTGCTGCTGCTGCTGCTGTCCGTGCCCGCCCATTCCGTCCTCTCTGCAGCCCAGCCCGCTGCTCTGACGCCCCAACTGCCGCTGTTGGGGCAGGAGGGAGGAGAGGAAGGGCGAGGACGCGGCTCTGGTGATTGGTCGACGGGAGGAGGAAGAGGCGGGGGACGGGAGAGAGGCAGGGGACGAGCCTACAGGAGGGCTCGCGCGCCACATGCGCCACTCCTCACGGCCCCTTTCCTCTTCCTCTCCGCCATCACCGCCGCCGCAGAAACCACCGTCGCCGCCGCTCCCGCCGCGACGTGACGCGTCAGCAGCTGCAGCGGTGCCGTCGCTGGCGGCGGCGGCGATCGCGGCGGCTTCAACGCTGGCGACGGTGCGCAGGAACGCGCGCTCGTTGGCTCTGAATTCTCTCTCCAGCGGCTCCGCGAGGGGCAGGGGGAGGGGCAGCGGGACTCCGCCCATGGCGCGCGGAACGACGCACGTGCGCAGGAACGCGGGGAGCACGCGGCGGGAGGGCATCGAAAGGCAGGTGCTGGGGGGAAACTCGGGGGATGACGAGGAAGAGGAGGGCGGAGAGGAGTGCGAGGAAGAGGTCAGGAACACTCCGCCACCGCTGCTCGCGCCGTAACCGCCGCCTCCCCCGCCGCAATCGGCGGCGTTTTCTACCGCAGCCGGCGCGATGCCGTAGTCTCGAACCGCAGCGGCAAAGGCGGCGGCAGCAGCAACTGAAACCGGCGGGACTTGCGCGGCGGAAGCTGGCGGGAGAGGCGCAACGGTGGCGGGGGACGGCGGGGGGACGGACAGGTACGAGTCGAAGTGAGAGCAGCTGGCGGAGCGGGCGAGTGCCGCGCGGGAAAGCGACGGGCGGCGGAAGAGCGCGGGGTCCGCGCCGGTCGCGCCAGCGCCGTTGGCGGAACCTGTAGCGCCAGCCACAAGCGGCTCCGCGAGCCTTCCGAATAAGTCCTCCACCTGCCATCCGCGCGCGCTCGCGCCTGCGCTCCCTTCCGCTGCAGCTGGTTTCATCTCCGCCCATTCCGCTGCTGCACGCACCCCCGCTTTTCCTGCGAAACCTTTCTCCCCCGATTCGTCGCGTCCCCGCGCCGCCGCGTCGATTGCCGTCGGCGCCTCCTCCACAGAATGGCATCGGCGCGCCGCGCCCGCTGCGCATCCGCCCAGTCTGTGCTCCTCCCCCCGCGCGGACCCCCCGTTCCGCCGCCCGCTCCGCGTCCTGCCCTTTCCGCGGCTCTTGCTCCGCAGCAGCTTAACGGGGCTGCTGGCGGAGGCGGCGGATTGCCCGACGCCGCCGAAAGCGGAGTGAAGCGCGCCGATTGAAGCCCAGCGGAGGAGATGCGTGGTGGTGCCGTGACTGGCGCCGTGACTGGCGCCGAGATTGTTGCCCTGGCTTACTGTCGAAACCAGGGAATGTGTGGCGGGAATGACGTCACTCTGCGCGCTCACTTCCCACTCTTGCCCGTCCTTCCGCCCGCCTCTCCCGCGGAGTCCTCCCTCCCCACCAGCTCTTCCGCTCAGTTGTTCTAATTCTGCTGCATTCAGCGGCGGTAGCGGGAGCGTTAGCAAGCCGTCATCCTCCGCGCCTGGCGCTCCCCTTCCGCGCATCCCCTCCCCACCCCTGTTTCCTTCCGCGCTCTCTTCCCAGCTCCGCCCCCGCGCACACCCGGCCGCGGCATTGGCGGAGGCAACAGGAGTGACCGCAGGAGCGTTACGCGCAAGCCCGCTAGTCCTACTAATGTAAACATTAATCAGTCCGGGAGTGGTAGCGGGCGCGGGGCGTGCGGACGCGGGGGTAATGGTCCCCCTGGGCGGTGTGGCCGTGCGCGGCGGCGAGGGGACGACGACGAACGGGGGATGCGGGCGGCGCTTGCGCGCGGTGAGACTGCGGCTGCGGTGAAGGTTCGCGCTGCTGCTGCACGATTCCCGCCCCGCAACGACCGTTGCCGCACCGGCCGCGGAAGCGACATTATTGCCCCCTACACCAGGAGTAATGGCAGAACCAGCAGCAACCGCAGCAGCCGCGTCGGCGGCGCCGCTAATGGCGCTTGCATTGCTGCTTGTGGTGGTGATCAGATTCCCGCAATGACCATCGGCGGCAGCGGCGGCGGAGGCGGCGGCGTCGCTGGCGCAAGGGTGAACGACGGCGCTCAAATCCGCAACCCCCGCAACCCGCGCACCAGAGTCCGCAGTGGTGGGCGAGGGGAGCGCGCTCGACGGCCCGGCGGAAGCAGAGTGCCTGCGCGGTATTTCCGCCCTCCGCCTGGAACCTTCAACCTGCCCCGGGCAGAGGCTCAGCTGACCGTTTACAAACTTCAGCCCCGCCGTTCCGCTTCTGGCGGGAAGGCTTTCTTGTCGCTCGAGCGCATGTGGCGGCGTGGTGGGGATTAAAGAAGAGTCTAGACTGGCCTGGCGGTCCCAGACCGACATGCGCGCGGACGTGCAGGGGGAGGCGGAGAGGGAGTGCGCGCACGGGGGCGCGGGCAGCGGGGCGAGGGCGGGGGGCGCGGGGAATGCGCGAAGGAGGTGGAGGAGAGAGGCGACGCGGGGAGTGAATGTGTGGTCAACGGGTCGACTTGTCCCGCACTCGACGCACCTGTGATGAAAGGCGGGGTAACAGGGAAGGGTTGGCGGGTGGGGGCGGCGGGGGGATGTGGGGAAGAAGGAAGGGGAGAAACAGCAATGTGAGGGTGAAGGGGATCCGACAAATAGGAGACAGCGAGGAAGTTTCGAGCGGAGAAAGTCCGATTCCTAAGTGAATGCACCCATGCACGCCCAATTGCATTAACGATCAGAGGAGCCATGCCCATGATTCAATCGGCAAGTCGCGCAATCATGTCACACGAGCGGAAATTTGCGCGTCTTACCGCCATCCGCTTTCCGCCCAATGCTGCAGCGCCGACCAGTCCGCCTCCGTAAGCCCCGCGAGGAGCGGCAGCAGCTGCTCGTAGCGGTTATTGCTCCACAGTCCTTCCCCGTCTGCTCGTCCTGACCCTCCTGTTCGTTCCCAGCTCGTTTCGGCAATGGCGGTTTCTTTTAGCTGCCTATCCTGCGTCCCGCCACGTCCAGCCGTCTTCCCCGTTTCCTCACGCGGGTAACACGCGGAGTTGCGCCGCCTTGCGCTCGCGCCAAGCACCAGTTTCTCCGCGGATCCCGCCGCCGTCCGCGGGCCCTCGACTACGTCGCCTGTAGATGACGAGCGGGCGACGGCGGTGTTTAATCCAGTGGAGGTGGGTTTGCCGTGGTCGGCAACAGTATGGGCGTCATTAGACGATAAGGAGGGGCGGAAGAGGCGGCTGGCGGTAGAGGAAGGGCGGAAATCGGTGGTGGAGGACGAGAGAGGGGCTGGTGGTTTGGCCGAGGCCTGGGGGGCGGCTGGGGGTAAGGCGCTGCTACTGTGGCTGTTGCTGCGGGACCGATGCGCGCGGAGCGAGGGACTGCGGTGCGGGCGAATTTGAGAAGGAGAATTCCCCATGGTTAGTTTTGAGTCTTCGGCTTGCTTCCGCTCACTCAAATGCAGCTAAATCACCCGCATATCTGGCGGATTTGGGAGCTACAAAGGACTGCAGTCGATCCGCCATATAGAACTGCTTTGTAACAATGGCGTCCTGCTCTAGCAAATCGTGTAATAAGCGGACGACGAGACGGCGTCAGAACTAGCGCAAGGAGCCACAGTACTACGGTGTTCGGGAATAGCCTAAACGACGGCGAATTTTTCTCTGTAATATCCGAACGTGCGATGACCAAATTGTCCCTAGCCAGGAATTCTCGCGTGTCTGCAATTGCACGACCTTGTGGTCACTTGGCCTGAGAGCATGATGTTGCAATGGTCTCGACTCAACTCAACTCGAAACGGCATGTCATAATTTCCATGCCTCACATGCGAGGTGGAAGAAAGGAATGTGAAATGGCATGGGATGGGATGGGAATGGGAAGCCATGCGAGTACGATGGGAATGTATACATGTACTGTATGATGGCCGTTGTGTCGGTGGGTAGTGCGGGTGGAGGTCTGGAGGGGGCAAGCGGGGAAAAGTGTGTGTGCGAGTGTGAGGGAAGAAAGGAGGAGGGGGGGAGGAGGGGAAAGAGTGGGGAAAGCTAGCAGACCGTATCGCCAGGGCGGTCAAAACGTGTCGAATGCGTTCATTATCGATCAATTTACTAACCAACCGTTCTAGATTGCTATTGAAAAGCTGTTGAATGTTAGGTATCTCTCTGAGCCGCATTGAAATGTACTTTTGGACACGCCCTCGACCTCATTACCCAGATGGACCCGACGTGACACCCTCCCTGGTCGGCTTCTCGAGGCTCCATCCGTCAACCTGTCAGAATATCCGAGCCGCCGAATGTTGATTTTCGATTTCCTCGTCAACGAAGGCGAGGCGTGCGAGGCGATGTGATCGTTGGGAGGCAACATTTTCGATTTGAGGGGGGATCGAGCAGTAGGACTGGCGGGCATCGGGGCCGTTCCTGGATTCCTTCGGATGGCTTAGATTGCCCTACCGCACACTGGTTGGCGTCTACATTACGTCGTTCTAATTCCTCCATAAAAGCAATAATCAAACTAAGCCCAGGAGTGTGCCTAGCTCTGCATGTAGCATATTCTATCAATCTCCACCATTAGTAGTGTGAGCAATGAGAGCATGGGCGAGGGAAACTCATAACAATCCTGCTATATGCATTCGTATAGGAGAGTTAATTGATTCAGTCATATGCACACACTACACTGATCTTCAGGGTGACATTCAAACCTCATTTATCAGATAGGATCAATATCTTGCCATACAAGTTGCAACTGGTATTGCTTACCCAATACAGCACAAAAGATGAACTAGGTTAGTGTATGGTTTCCCACCCTCCGCAAACCTACTGCGGCTTTAATGCATATTTTACACAGGCTGTAAGCATCTCCCTTCTCCCCACTTCATATTCCCATCTCCTGTCCCTTTCCCACACCCTGCCACGAGTTCTGCAACCACCCCACTCTCTTCCCTCTCCCACAGTCCCTCTCTCAAATCCCCAAAACCCTCAGTCCTCCATCCCTGCCCTGCTGGCCAGAGCTTCTTGGAAGGATGGTACAGCTTCCTGGAAGCATCGCAGCACAGCAGGTGCCAGGTGCAGGTGCCGGGGGTGCGACAGGCATGCGAGCAGCAAGGGGGCGTGCTGCCAAAACACCTGAAAAAATGGAACATTGGATGGTACAACAAGGGAAGTGACTTTTGAAAACCCTTCGTTCTTGACTGAATTCCCCTGCGACCGTCCTCCCTCACAACCTTTTCTTTGAAGTCCTCTCATACTCCTCACCAGCGCAGCACCAACCAGCAACTCCAGAAGCACCAAGAAACAGCCCTCACAAACACACCTCCAACCCAGTATGTACCTGTGGCGGTGTCGAAGCCAGGAACCTCGCAGCAGCAAGCGGTCCGCAGCACAACACCATGCCTCGCAGCAGTGCCGCCATATCCTCCCTTCTCTGTGCCGCCACTCGGCCCTGCTCCTGTGCGTCTCTTGCCACCAGCCACGCCTGCAGCAGCCGCACTGCCTCCCTTCGTACCCGCGCCCGCGCTTTCAGTGATGCCGGGGGGAGGGTAGGTGGGGAGGGGGAGGAGGAGGTGGAGAGGGGAGAGGGGGAGGAGGAGAGGTGCAGAAGGTCCCATGCGAAGGCAGGCGAGAAGCGAAGCAGCTGCAGGGAAAGAGCGGGGGAGGAGGGACGAGCGGAGGCATGGAGGGAGGAGGAAAGAGAGGGGTGAGGAGGTTTCAGAGAAGCTGACGAGGCGCAAAAGTGACACGAATGCTAAAAAACCAGACAGCGGAGGACAAAGGATGTCGTGAAATGAGCAAGGGTTACAAGGCAAGACAGGAGATGGATGGGACAGGAGAGGTGGAGATGCGAGGAGGTGCTCTCGACCTTGGCACTGAGGAGGTGCAGCAGTGCGGCCCAGAGGTGGTGCGCGGCGAGCAGGCGCACGAGGGATGACTGTGCGCGCAGAAAGGCTGGCAGCGGCAGCCGTAGATCGTCCATGCTGGTGGGTGTGGGGGTGATGGGGGTGATGGGGGTGATGGGGTTGATGGGGGTGATGGGGGTGATGGGGTTGGCAACACCACGAATAATGACAGCGCTGCCACCAGCCATCAGCAACAGCAAAAGAGACACTCGAGATGCGATGATCCGGCTCCCACTCACCATCGGATCAGCTCCACCAGAACCCCCACAGTATAGCTGCTGTCATGCCATACAGCCCCACACGCAGCAGCACCACCATCCATCTCCTTCTCGCCGCAACCACCATCCACCCCCCCTTCCTCCTCCCCTTTCTCTCCTCCTCCACCGTCACCGCCTGCCTCTCCTTCCCTTCTCGTGTCCCCTCGGCTACTCTCTCCGGGACTTGTGACGGCACCACCAGGGGTGCTTCTGTGTCTGCTTGTCTGCTGCGTGCATGCTTCCAAATGCAACTCGATCTGGAAATCACAGAGCGGAGCAGGGAGGTGTGGGAAATGTTATTTCCAAGGTGCCCGGGAAAACGAATCTTGCCCCGCTGCGTGCATGATTCTATCTGGAGGTCTGTTTGGGAAGACCATGTGAGGGGGGAGGGAAGGGATGGGAATACAATGTAAAGAAATATGGTTTCTTGGCATGTTAGGCATGCTTCTAGGCGACAGAGCAGGAGCACCCACCTGGTGCAGCAGGTGCTCTGGCGACACCACCCCCTCATCCTCCTCCACTGCAGGATCCGCCGCCTCTGCTTCTCCCCCTCCCCCACCACCCACACCACCACCCCTCGCAGCGGACCCCCCCAACCCCTCCCCCACAGAAGCCACAGAACTCGTACGAGACAAAGTTGCTGGTTCTCTTCCCCCCACTTCCCCTCCCGTTCCCCCTCCTGCTCCTGCTCCGCCTCTTCCCTCCAGCGCCTCCCCCAGGCCCCCATCACCGCCTGATACAGCAGTCTCTGATACAGCGCCTGATTCGGCAGCCACGTGGAAGAATCCTCCTGACGCTGTCCTGTCATTCGCCCCCACCTGCTGCTGCTGCTGCTGCTCTGCGCTCTCCCCCTCCCCTGCCTCTTGCTTCGCTGCAACTGTGCCGCTGCTGCTGCTGCTTCTCCTGCTGCTGGCATCAGTACCAGCAGCAACTGCAGAAGACGCACCGGGTGTGTCTTGCACAGGCTTGGGCTTGCGAGCAGCAGCGGCAAGAGCAGTGGCGTATGCGGAGAGCAGGGAGGAGAAGGCGGAGGAGAGAGTGGGGAGGGGCGAGCGTTGGGCGAGGAGATCGGAGAAGAGTGAGAGGCAGATGGCATGCACCTGCTGCCTGTTGCAGCGCCGGCGCTGGAGCAGTGGGAAGAGGGACGACCGATCTGCTGCACACACTGCCAGAGACTGGGGGAAGATGGCGAGAGAGGGGGGGAAGGGGAGGGAAGGAGGTGTTAAAGCAGGAGGGAGGGACAGGCGCCTGGAGCAGCGCCGGCTCTGCAGCAGTGGGAAGAGGGACGACCGATCTGCTGCACACACTGCCAGAGACTGGGGGACGGTGGCAAAGGGGCGGGGGGGAGGGAAGAGGGGAGGGAAGAGGGGAGGGAAGAGGGGAGGGAAGGAGGCGTTAAAGCAGGAGGGAGGGACATGGAGAGGAGCAATGGCCAACGATAAAATTGTATGGCACGTACAGTGAGTTCTTACTGGGAAATCTCGGAAGTAATACCTGGAGGTTGAGGTGCAGGCGCCAGAGCACGCCTTTCACATGGTCCAGCACTAGATCCGGGTTCACCAGCACCCACCCCGACCCATACACCTTCGACCGCGACCGTGACCTGCCACTGCCCCCGCTGCTGCTGCTGCTGCCGCTGCGGGTACTGCCTCCGCCGCTGCTGCTGCTGGTGCTGCTGTTGCTGCTGGCGCCAGTCCGTGGGGTGGACGGAGCAGAGGAGCCGTCGCCGCTGCTGCTGGCATTCGTGCTCGTGCTCATACCCGTGGAGGAGCGCGAGAGAGTGCGAGGGAACGAGGGAGTGAGTGAGGGAGGGAGCGAGGAGGAGAGTGGTGCGAAGGCGGGGGCGAGTGCGGGGCAGATGGGTTTCCAGTGGTTGAGGAGAGGGTCGAAGAGGAGGAGGCGGTGGATGGCTGGTAGATGCACGAGGAGCAGGTTATCCGCCACACTCACTGCCACTCGCGTTGATGGCAGTGGAATGGACACCTGGGGGGTTGGAAGGGTTTCGAAGATACTTGAGAATCTGGTAGGTGTGTAGACTCACGACCAGGCGTGTTGCTGGAAGAGGAGTGGACATCTTAGGTTAGTTCGACGAGGAAGGGTGGAGGGGGGAGAGAGTGGAGGTGGTGCGGTGGAGAGGAGGGATGACAGAGCCAAAGTTACACTCACCCTGCAGCACGCTGCCTGCTCACCTGCAGCACTATGGCATCTCGAAAGAACCGAAAGATGTGTAGCAGGGAGGAGACCCGGTCCACCTGCACACAGTATATGCGCCCGTACCTGAGCACATGGACGAGACATGCATGCATGCAACCATCCGAGAATGAAAGGGAGGGAGAGAGGGGAAAGAGAGCGAGTGAGAAGAAGCCAGAGTGCTGCACAGCTTGGACTATAGATTGCGGCGAGCAGCAGCAGCAGCAGCAGCAGCAGCAGCAGCAGGGATTGCTTTCAGAATCCCAACTCAACAAGGCACACTCACATGTTGGCAATGCGCACGTCCTGTGGGGCGAGAACCACTGGTGGGGCCGGCTTGGCAGTGAGCGAGTGCGTGGATGTGGTGGTGGGCGCAGCAGATGTGCCCAGCTGCGCTGTGAACTTAGGCAGCTTCACCAACCCTGCTGCTGAGAACTGCCCGTTGCAGGGTGAGAGAGCGAGAGAGAGAGAGAGAGAGAGAGAGAGAGAGAGAGAGAGAGAGAGAGAGAGAGAGAGAGAGAGAGAGAGAGAGAGAGAGAGAGAGAGAGCAACACCAAAAAGAACACACCGTTGAGTCGACTCAAAAAGAAAAAAAGGGACCGAGGGCGCAGAAACACCCGCAGGCGCGTGCATGCATGATCCTTACAGACTGCCTGTCTGTAACCCACTGAATCCTTCAAACAGCCCTGTTCCCGACTGCTGAGCGAGCGCACCTGAATGGCAGTGAGGGAGCAGAATCTGGGGCCAGCAGCGAGGATAAGCACACGTGACTCGTGCGTGTAGACGTACCACCCGATCGCCACACGCCACGCCTCCACCATTCGCATCACCACCTGCCCTGACCCACTCCCCCCTGCCCCTGCTGCCCCTGCTGCTGCTGCTCCTGCTGGTGGTGGTGGTGATGCTGGCGCCCCTGTTGCGCCTGATGGTGCTGCTGCTGCCACTCGAAATAGCTCCAGGCCCCTGGCAATGAGAGGTTGGATGAAAGGGCGAAGGGTGGTGGAGCAGAGGAGTGCGTAGAAGGGACGACGGAGAAGAGAGCAGAGCGGAACGGATCAGGAAGAGAAATATCACAAGGCCGAAATGATACAAGGCACGTTAACATGGAACAATAAGACAATGAATGACTGGCTGGAAGGATAAAAACAGCACCCTATCAATGATCCAACTAATTGAGACTCTCACCCAGTTGTGACTATAACGAGGTCGCAGAGTGGGCAATCAGACCAGAAGAAGCCCAGGATCTTATCAGCAGCACTTCTACTCCTGTACGTGAGCGCCGGTGCTGTCACTGTAACAGGAGCGTTCAAAGCAGCCTCTGCTGCTAAACTACTTCTACTCCTACCGCTGCCACTGCCACTACCGCTGCCACTGCCACTGACACCAGCACCAGCACTTGCACTACCACCAGCACTTGTCCCGCCACCACTGCCACTGCTAGGACCCACGCTGCTGCCACTAGCGCTACTGCTGCTGCCGCCTCTGGTTCCCAGCGCTTCTTCTTGGCTTGCGCTCCCTCCGTCTCCTGCCCGGTCCCCTCCATGCCCCGGTGCTCCTGCTTCTGCCTGACCAGATGCTTCCGCACCAGAACCACCAGACGAGGCAGCAGCTGCCGCCGTAGGTGTGGTGGACGTGGAGGTGGTGGTGGTGGTGATGGTGGAGGAGGAGGAGGAAGAGGAGGAAGGGCGGCGGAGCAGCAGTTCGAGCTCGTGGGCGGATCGCTGCACAGCGAGAATGCGGCCGTCCAGGGAGAAGCGCACGGCCAGCACAGGGCGGTCGGATATGGCGAATACCTGCGGCGCTGGCTGCTGCACGGGCTGCAGATGGCCGTGACTGACACTGTGCGTGCGACTGTGACCAGGGGTGTGGGCGTGGGCGTGAGAATTACAATGATTCAACTGCTGCTGCTGCTGAATGTACTGCTCGAGGCTCTGCTGCTCCTGCGCGGGAGTGGGCACACGCCACGCGTACACCTTCTCATGCGCGGACACCAGCAGAATGCCGTGCGGCTCGTCATACATCACACCAGCCGCGCCCGGCACGTCAAAGCGCAGCAGAGGCCGCGGCCCCAGCACCACAGGGCTGGACTCGTCCTGTGGAGATACCGAGGATGCGAATAACGGGGATGCTTGTCCTGATCGTGATGGTGATGGTGCTGCTGATGTGGGTGTCCCTGATGACGGTGCTGGTGATGCTGGTTGGGACCCCCATCCTCCTCGCCTCTCTCTGGGGGTACTCGATCCCTTTCTTGGCGACATGGCGGGTGACTGCGCGGGTGACATGCCAGGGGACCTCCTGGACGTTCTCATGCCAGATGAAACGCCGGATGGCATGACTGGCGTGCTAGTTGAAACCATGGAGGCAGGATTCGGATTGTAAGCTCTTCCCATTAACTAGGGAGCATCAGATAAGCTGAACGGCTGCCTTGACAACCCAATATACGTCTACTCTGCTTCGTGTCCGCTTCTCACCCTTTACTCTCCTGCCTACTCTCTCCTGGCCTCCTCTCACCTCCTCCACTTCTCTCGCCCTCCCTCCCCCTTCTAACACGCACGTGCTTTCTCTCTTACACACGCACACATCCACACACACACACACAAACTCACACTCTCTTCCGCACACTCACTCCTCCCCACCCCAACTCTTCACAGGGTCATCATATCAACAAATCTTACTCCACCGCACCAAACTCCCTCCTCACAACACCCCATGGTAAACGCACGCCCGAACAAGCTGCGATCACGCACTGCTGCTTCCACCGTTAGCGCCAACGGTATATGGAGACAGTGGCTGACGTGGCAGCAGCGAGGAATGACTCAGCAGTCGCTGCTACTTGCGCTTGCGCAGCTGCAGGGCCGCGAGGGGGAGGCGTGAGGTGAAGGCAGAGAGGCACGGGTCGAATACGAGGGAACGACGGAATTAGAACACAGAGAATGAGCACAGAAGCGGAAGGAGAACAGAAGAACAGAAGCGAAAGGCAGAGAAGGTCTTGTGTGAGAGAGATCGGATAGGAGGGGAAGCGAGAAGGACGAACTGAGGATAGGAGAACATTTGAAGAACCACAGGGAGAAGGCGAGGGGAGCGGAGGGGAGGGGACGCGAGGGAGGGGAGGAGAGGGAAGCGGAGGTGAGGTGAGGTAGGCGAGGAGAGTGGAGTGGGGGAGAGGGGAGAGGAGCGGACGCACGGAGGCGTAGAAGCAGGTCTTCAGCTGGAGAAACTCCTTCTCGCACACGGCCTTGTCCACACCTGGGACCCTGGCAGCCACGCAACGGCCGTACACTGCTGCCTGGCACGCGTGGATACACGCGATGCGATGCGCGATGCGGTGCGTGATGGCGATGCGCGATGGGAGAGGGGAAGGTCACACCGGGCAGACAGCAGGCAGTTGAGGGGAAGGTAGCAAGAGGGAGGGTATGTCGAGCGAGAATACCGCAGGGATTGGTGCGTGATAGGACAGGTTAGTGTCAGTAGAACAAATGCGCGTCGACGAGGTAGGGTGAAGTGATCGATACAAGAGCGGACGCGTCGACGGTAAGGACAAGGTGGATAATATGAGATGAAACGGTGCTGGAAAAGGAGCGAAAACGACGGATCTAGTAGGCTCTGGCAGAATCGAGAGAGATACGATACGTGAGAGAGTGATGAGAAGTGTCACCTCAGAAGAACATGCAACGAGTGCTGCATGGAACGACGTGAGGAAGCGGTTCGGATCCTTGGGTGCAGACGCGGTCATTGAGGGCAACGAGCGATACGAAAGAATAGTACCAGATCGGGCGATTTGCTAATAAGCAGCGATAAGCGACAGTGGTAAGGGCCAGACACTAGCTAGGCGGGATTGCTGAAGAGTATGCGGGCACCAGGGGACTGAAGAACCTGGGCGAAGATGCTGAAAACTGAATCTGGCAAATAAACTGGAATCGGCACAACGACTTGTGCCCTGCTATAAGCTGTCAGTGATGCTCCTATGCAAGGAATGTAAAAGAGTGATTTACATTGTATGATGGATACATGTAGCGTTTTGAATTCGACGGTTCATAAAGATTCGTACTTACTTTTTTCTTTTCATTGAATATCACATGTGGATCTCCCTATTGCCGCAATTCTTTTATTTTATATAGCTCTTAAAACCCTTTGCTTATATATTGCAGATTGTATTGTGCTTTTCCACTCACAGTTGTATCGCTTTCTCCAGTACAGTACCATTGTCGGGTTCAGCACCCTGTACAACCACCTGACCCGACTGTTCGCCAACTCATCGGAGGGAGGGAGGATGGCTTCCTGCTGACGCACTAGAATTCCCACAACCAGCAAGGCCAACGCTATCACCACCAGCTCCAAACCTGGTCAGGGTGGAATTCACATTAGCCACTGCCAGTATACTAACTGGTCCGCGATTGTCAGTTTCCAGTAAACGCATCTTCGCCCTCCTACCTTTCACCCCCAATGAATCAATCCCGCAACCTACTCATCTATTCTTTCATTTCACGAGGAGATGTTGTACTGGTGGAGTATACTCCTTATGGGGGGAACTTTAGGGTGGAGGCAATGAAAGGGTTGAAGAAAGCGGTAGCATCTACGAAAGGGAAATACTCGTATCCTTTCGATGAGCTCACCTTCAACTATTTAACTTTCCAAGGGATTAGTACGTTATCATCCTGCCTTCGGGTTCGCTTCCGAATGCAAATGTCCTTACTGGGTTTTTCTCTCTGCAGCCTATATGGTCATGGCTGACTGCATGTACGGCCGCAGACTACCTTTCGTTTATCTCGAGAAGTTGAAAGACCTCTTTGTGGACAAATACGGGGGTCGTAGCCTGGATTCACTTCAAGCCAACGCACTCAATCAGGAATTCGGGTATGCTTAATTCGAGCGTTAAGGCATCTCACGTTGTTTCTCACCTGCCACTTGATCCAGACCGTTGATGAAAGAGCTCATGGAGTTCAGCATGCATAATAGCGACGAGATGAAGCAGTTGGCCAAGCTCAAAGCCCAAGTACTGGAAGTTCAGAGTGCCTTGACCAACAACATCGAGCAGGTAAGGAAGGAGCCCTAAGAATAAGTCTAAGGATGCTCTGCTTGACTTCTGACAATAAGCGTGTGCTTTCAGGTGGAAGCTGCATCAGCCAAGGTGAGTCTTGTGTGAATATGTTGAAGGGAATGATTGCATGCTCTACAGTATGGTATGGAACAGTAAGAGTTCACCATCTTGCAGGTGGAAGACGATCGTTTTCCCCAAAAGCCGGGCAGATCAAGGTGTTCAGCATTCTGCAGGGTCATATTGTGTGTGCTCCTCTTGGCCTTGTTAGCAGGCTCTCTCGCTGCGTGGTTCCAGCTCTGTAATCTGGGGGGTTGTACCTTCATCCGTACTGGATCAGTTTGATGCTGCGTAATTCCATCGGCTTTGTAATCCCTGGTTGGTACCGCGATCCATGATGGACCAGTTAGATGCACCATTTCGAGGGCTGTTTGGAGATAGATGCAGCTAGCAACTCACAAAGAGGGCCTGACTTGGATATTATTAGTCCTTAGTGCTTTCACCAGTACCTTCCCCCTTAACTGTTCGGTATTCTCTGCTACCCTAAGTTGAAAGTGCTGCGGTATGTTCATGGGCATTCCACTGTATTTTTTGTATTGTAACTGAGAACATACATGGCTATGGTGGAGACCCCTTTGACTGAAACCATTCTGCTCTGTCAATAGGCTTACCATTCTGTATATGATGACAAACAACGGAAGGAACTATCGTAACAATAAAAGGGCAGCTTGAAATGAGAACAGGAGGTGCAGAAACAATCACAGCAGCCTGTGCGTCATACAATCTCCCAAGCTACGAAGACAGTTGCTTTCCGCTATCAAACCATGGCACGCATTCGCCAGCCTTTAAAAAGGCTCGGTCAAGTGCTCGAGTCGTTTGACCTTCGGATGAGCCGTACAGGTCCTGCGATCACTATTTTTCGTCCGCTACTAGAGCTGAGGTCGTCTGGTTTGAGCGTTGCATCACAGGATCCTTGTTCAGGTGACATGTTCGACCTTTGTGCCTGTTGTAGCTGCATCCATTCCCCCTGAGCGTCGGAATGGCCTCTTCATCGAGTCATGACTTCATCTCGTCCTTACCATTTTCTTGATAGTCGTTACATCACCCGTAAAGCGGCCCGCTTTAGCGACCGAACGAGACGATTCACGTGGCGACCTGAACCAGTCCGGAAAGAGCCTATGTAGTGGGCATGATGGGTTTCAAGCCGTCCATTGTTTATCAGCGGGTCTCAATGCCTCTCTAACCCGTCTCTACGCCCGCGTCATGGTTTTCAATTTATCTTCCACCGTATCCCTTCTTTCGAACCACCACCACTCCTGACAGGCACTCAGTTTTCGTCTGTCCGCTCTCTCCACCACGCGTGGTCGCACCATGGGGGAACCACACTCAGATCCTTGCCAGGGGACGGCCTGACGTCAGGTGAAACCGTCACCAGCTCCCATGGAGGTTGCTCGTCAGGGAATCAAGACGGGGAGAAGCAGGAGGAGCGACCTTCAGGCTTGCCTGTAGCAGAGCGGTGTAAGGTTGTCCCTTGCTCTTTTGAACCTTCCGGACACTGCAGCAGACGCTTCTAAAGTATTTGCCGATCGTTGCGACCGTTTCGATGGAGGAAGCAGCTTGTGAATTCGCCTTCATCATTCAATGTTTCGCATGCAAATCTCGCACCACCTGTCATGCAAGAACTGCGCCACCTCACCCCATGTGTGTGTGTAACTTCTCTCTTTCTCTCTCTCCGCCCTCCCCTCTCCAGTCCCTGCTAGCAGCGAACTGGCGCGCTCAGCTCACCACAGTGCGGGCAGGAGTTCAGTCCGATTCAGAGGAGGACGATGCCTCACCAGCTGCCATGTGCGTGCTAGAAAAACGCATGCGGACGGAGGGTGACGCATGCACCATAATTTAGTGGTTCTTCTGTTTTCTCGCCACAGGTTCTGTGGAAACCAAGCATGGTTGGTACTCATTCGAAAGAAACTGGCTGCCTCTTCTTGTCCATGCGTGTGTGCACATGTGTACATGTGCGTACCTGACACGTGCACATGCATCAGGGCACGGGAGAAGCTGCATGGGTCGTTGGTGCGCTACATCATGGTGGATGGCTCTCCCATCGTTGCTCTCCTCCCAGATGACCCCCACCATGTGGTGCGTTTTGAGTCAAGTACACCAAATTAAATACACTGCAAAGCATGCCATTTGTTTCACTCATAAACCTTCGGGATGAGTGCCTTTATTCATTCTTAGAGCTTCGATTTATATATTTGCCACATCTGTATCGCTCCAATGCTTCTCCCCTGTCTTCCTTTGCATCCTCAGCTGCCTTTTGTTGCATCCTCCGTCTCTGCCTCTCCCGTCCTTCTAGAACCTTCTTATGGACGACAGGGCTTCACTCACGGTGGGGGGTACTGACCCCCCTGCTCTCATCCGCTCCCTCCTCACATCCGGCCAGGTGAGAGGGGAATCACACACTTTTTATCCCACTACGCTCGCTGTACAATTACGCATATAGTCGTTACGTTTTGTTTCTGCTTCAACCGCACCCTGTCGTAAACGCAATCCCGCTCTTGCTCATATCCTTCTGCTCTACTCCTCCATTGTCAGCACATACAATGACACACTTGTCATTGCTTGCAACCATCGTTCAGTGCCATCCTACCATGTGCCATCACCCAATCATGTGCCGTCCCAACCATCATGTGCCCTCACTCCCTGTGTGCCCACCCACCTGTTACCATCACCACCAGATGCCACCCCGTGTTGCCCTTCTGGGCGAGCTTGTGGCCGTGGACTCATCCGAGGTAGGCAGAGTAATGTCGTTTTAGAGACGTCCCTGGCCTCTCCTAGCCAGCTCATTTCTGGAGTCTCATCCATAATAGTTGCTACCGCTCCCCTCCCATACCCTCTTGCTTGCGCCCTCCTGCATTCCTCCTGCGTCTTGTCCTTTTTCTAAATCTTCCACCATGCGACTGTCTTCCCCTCCACTACCGCCGCTCTTTCCACCTTCGAGCTTCGGCGTTCCCCATTCATGTCCGTCTCTCTCTCTTCCTTCCCTCGTGCGGTCGCAGACCCCTTTCATCCTCCGTCGCTTTACAGCAAAGGCGGAGGCAGCTGCAGCGGCTGTTGCTAGACTGGAGGCCGCTTTGCCCTCCCCTCCCTCCTCCCCTCTCCCCTGCCCGCCACCCCTCTTGCAAACTGTGGCGGAAGGTGGTGGGGGTGGGAAAGGAGAGGAGGGGGCTCTGACCTTTTTCCGCATGGAAGCTAGGTGGGGAGTGGATGTGATGGGATAAGCTCTAATGTGATGCGATGCGATGTGATGTGATGTGATGTGGTTGCGATCTGATCCACATTCTCTGACACCATTGACTGTTTTGTGGCTGAGTGTGTTGCTGTAATGTGATGGCATGGGGTGCATGGGTTCGGTATGTTCTCTATGTGCGTCGTTCCTTCAACGCCTCATCCTGCTTCATGCATGCTTCCATTGCTTTCCTTCCTTGCAATATCTCACCATGTGGTCATGTTCTTGCTCTTCTGTTCCCATCATGCCATCCCATCCCATTTTCTTCTTCCATGGTGCCATGCATTCCGTCAGGTCCTGTCAGCTGGTTGATGTCAAAGGCAAGCGAACGTCACTGCCTGTGGCAGATGTCAAACCAGCCGCCACGGACCCCCTAGGTGCGTGTCCTCCCACCCACCCACCAGCAAACTCACTCGTACCCTGACACACCAAGGCACCCATACACCGACCCACTTATTCACACACATGCTTGTCCCCACAACCTGCTTGTAACACTCGGAATCGGCTCGCCTTTTCCATTCTATCAGCTCCCAGGCGCGCTAATCCTTTCCATTTCGTTTTGACTCTCTGAACCTCCCGAATATGTTCTGCTCTGCACTTTAAGATTCTTTTCATTTTGCACCATGCACACCACCTCTCACACCATACTTCCCAACGATCCATTTCAACAACTCCCATCCCTCCTCCCGCCCTGCCACCCGGCCTCCCCTTCTCTCCACTACCCGTCCACCTGTGTTACCGCAGCCACGTCTCTCGTCCCTCTGCTCCTCGCACTCAACTCCTCCGCCGCGTCGCGGACTGCCTTTGCTTCCTTCTGCAAGGCGTTTCTGCAAGTGCCTGCTCGCCCACAGGTAAACATTGGAACCAAGCTTACACCTCAGACTTGCTCGTGCTCTTTGCCACCCCCCCCACTTGCGTAGGCCGCGGTTTAATTTCAGCCCGTTTTGCCTGTTAACTTCTGTTCACACCTCACATCCCCTTGCCGCCTTTCTATCTTAACCCTCTGCTCGTTCATTTAGCATCCTGATTGTTGCTGCCTTCCATGTCAATCTGACTACCGCTCCCTCCCACCAATCTCCAGACCACATTTCTCTTCTCTGCTGACCGCCGAGGCTTCAACCTCCTCTCACAGTCGCTGCAGCCACCACAACAGCAGCATGCAGAAGAATCCAGCCCATCAGAGAAGCCGCAGTGGCGAGAATTTAGGTTTGAGTTTCAAAGAGAAGTCACAGATGCCAAGGGGTTTATGCAGGTGCTTAGGGAAATGGAAGAGGAGGTGAAATCAGAACCGAAGAAGTAGGAAGGTACGTAGAGGTGTGTGATTAGCAACCTCTATCATAACCTCCATGCTTTTGTTTGATGTGTTGTGATCATGACGCTTTTGTTTGGTGGGTATGGTACCAGATGAAAATGAACAGTGCAATTTATTAAGTCAAGATCAAGAATGATGTCAGAGCAATGTCAGCCATATTTAGGCACCAGAACCAGTAATAGTTTTAAAGGTTTGCTGGATGTCAAAACGTTCAGGAGGTTGGAAGAGGTTGGGGTTCTAGAAATAATGGTTTGCTAAGTACTGTGGTTCAGCTTGATTACCGTACTCCTACAGAGCATTTAGTGGCTTGCAGAAGTGTAGAGTATCTGTTATGTTTGCCACTGCGGTTGGCCCCTCCTCACAATTCCTGACGAGTCGCTGACCTGATTTTTGTTTCAGAAGAATGCGGTGCGGTTCTAGATGTGTCAGCCGAATCCTGTATTTTTTATGCAGCGTCGAAACCTGCCATAACAAGCTCCATCTTTCAGAGAATTCTCAAAGGTCTTGTCTTGACCGTCCGATCTCTGCGAAGTGATCAAGTTTAGGTGAGAGCCAATCTCGAGAACCAATCAGCCTCGTCCGAAAACGCACGAGCAGCTTCTGCGAGACTTCTGCGATGTCCCTTGACCTTTCCCCGCACCGCTATTCCCGAGTCGCGGCTTTGCCCCACACATTTCAAGCATCCATCAACATCAATTTCATCTCACAGCAAGCTGAACCTTGGAGTCCGCTGGCAGGGACGATGAGCGAGTGTAAGAATTTCTGATGCGCAGGCAGACCTGCAAGGAATCCGCTGAAGAGCATCAAAGCCAAGAGTGGTGCGAGTCGGGAAGGGATGATCTGGTTGTTGGCTAACCTGCGCCAGACACACTCTGCTACTACAGCTCAGTCTCACCAAGCAAAACCAGCGCAGCCTTTCACAAAACACGACAACGGGCCCATCAGGTGCACTCTGCCAGCAAACAAGTTCGAAGTTTTAAGTTCCCTCGCACATACGCTCACTGAGTGACGCAGTCCGACATTTGCCCATCAGTGCTCGTAGTCTCTCACCCAGGACGATGAGACGGCGAGTGAGATGATGCGCAGTGGACGGTTCATCTGACGGCGCCCATCCACGCTCTCCTCTCCATCTAGCATCACTGCCTTCACAGCGTTTCTCAAACGCAGTAGAATCGCGACTCTGGCGCGTTAGACTCGTCGATTACAGCGAAACGCAGCTCGTGTACGTCTGATCGAACGCCAATCTAGAGGCCAGTCTCGCGTGAGCGCATCACCCTCGATCTAGCAAGCAGGTCAGGAACGAGTAGTGGTCAGGAAGCCTAGACGCGGTCGCGGTACGACAGCAACGAGTAATGCCGTGCCCGTAGTTCCCTGTACTGCTCAACCGTTCGCTGCCATTGTTTCGAAAGCAGTCTAGTTGTTCAACATTGTTCCGAAAGCAGTCTAGTTTATCAACGAACGTAAGCCACGCCCATCGAGGAGCCTCCAGAAAAGAGAATCTCGATGAGCTCTGAGGTGTATCAGACGCGAAGATAGCACGCACTTCCGAGATATTGTTGCCGTTCCATCAGCACTCCACACCATCAACCCCTCCACACGCCCAGACACGCCTAGCACTACGTCCGACTTGAGCCACGAACGAGTAACGCTAGTCCCCTAGTCGTGCACGGTTCCATTCCCTCTCGCGCGTGCTGCAACAGCGTGCGGTTCCATGTGCGTGAGCCTGAGTGACCCGTAAGAATGGCCCGCACACTGCCTCGCACGTTTACTATCGCGCGCGCTAGACGCCCCGTAACGCTCTCTTCCAAACGCCCTTCCAGATCCTCGCTCCACCACTCGTCGATGCTCGTCCTCGCCGCTTTCGCGCTTTCCCTCCGCCTGCCGCTCGTGTCTGCCGCCACATTTCAGGGTGACACGGATGCGCTACACGAGTTTAAAGCCGCTGTCGAAAACCCGTCTGCGCTGAGCTGGCCCGACTCGGGCGGAGACCCGTGCATCGACGGCTGGAGCCACGTCACGTGCACGCGCGACGCGATCACGCAAGAGCACCGCATCTCGTCGCTCCTAATCGATGGTCTTAACCTCGGAGGGGGCGGCTCCCCGTTCCCCACGCAGCTCGCGCGCCTAGCCTATATGCGCGCGCTGTTCATCGGGAACAACGGGTTTGCGGGGGAGATTCCGCGGGAACTGGGGGAGCTGGCGCGCATGGAGCAGCTAGGGTTGGACCACAACGGATTCACCAGCGCGCCGCAAGACCTGTTCGCAAATATGACGGCGCTCGAGGCGCTGTATCTACAAAGTAATCCGCTTGGGGGACAACCTCCGCCCGATCTATCCGCAAACACGAATCTTAACATCTTGCTCCTCACCAACTGCTCCTTCACGGGTGAATTACCCTCGTATCTCGCGTCGCTCGTCGCGCTCACGAACGTCTCGCTCGGTCTGAACGCGTTCGACGGCGGGATTCCCGAGGGGATGTTCGGAGCGCACATGCCGTCGCTGCTCTCTCTCCGACTCAACAACAACCGGCTGACCGGCCCCATTCCCGCGTCGCTCGCCTCCGCGCCGCTCCTGTCGGAACTCTGGCTACACGGTAACGACCTCTCGGGACCGATTCCCGACGCGCTAGGCGGGCCGTTGTCTCTGCTGCAGTCCGTGAAAGTATACGAGAACGGCCTTGTCGGTATGTTACCCGAGTCGCTCGGCGAGGCGCGCCAGCTATCAGAACTGCAGGTGCAGCGGAACAAACTTGTCGGCCCGATTCCTGCGTTCATGGAGCGGTTCGGGGAGGGGAGCTGGGGGGAGAACGGGTGGTGCGCCGCGGGTCCAGGCGACGCGTGTTCCGACGAGGCCATGGCGCTGCTGGAGTTTTTAATAGGCGTCGAATATGCTCCTGCCCTTAGCGACTCGTGGGTTGCTAACGACCCCTGCGCTTCGGGCTCTGCGGGGAACTCGTTGGGTGACCAGTCGTCTTCTGCCACGTGGCTTGGCGTTGGGTGTTCCGCGGACGGCCAAGTTACCAGTCTAACCATTCCCTCGCAGAATCTGAACGGAACCATTTCCGTGTCGCTCGCGCGGCTGCCCGCGCTGGAAATGCTTCAGCTGCCCGACAACAATCTCGAGGGTTCGCTGCCCGCGGAGCTCGCGCAGCTGCCCGCGCTGCGAGCCGTCAACGTGGCGAACAATCAGCTCACCGGACCGCTGCCGGATTTCCCGCCGCAAGTGACGGTGGTAGCGACGGGGAACAAGCTGGAAGGCGGGGGTTCCGCTGGTGGTGACGCTTCCGCCGCCGCGCCTCCGCCGTCGCCCCCGCCACCAGTGACAAACAGCAGCGGAGAGAGCGGCGGCGGCGCCAGTAGCGGCGGTAGCGGCGGTGGCAACAGCAGCAGTAGCGGAAGCAATGCGGGGAGTGGCGGGGAGGGAAGCAACGGACAGGCAAGCGGTCCGCCGTCGTCGCCGCCTTCTGCTGCGCCGGAGGGTTCGGGAAAGAACGGCGGGAATAGAAGCAGCAGCGGCGACGGCGGGGGAAGCAGCGCGTCTAAGAACGAGTCCGGCAGCGGTACTCCGCCCATGAGCGATATCCAGAACTCCCCCGAAGGCCCTCCCGCGGACTCTCTCGGAAACTCTTCCCCCTCCACCTCTCCGCCTACCCTGCCGTCCGCTCCCCCCGCTTCTCCTTCCGACGCGACCTCCCCTCCTCCTCCATCCGCTTCACCCAAGCGCGCCTCTCCCCCGCCCGCGGTGGATATCGAAGCGCCCGCTTCTGCCCTTCCCCCGCCCGTTGCGCCTCCCGCGTCTATCCGCAGCAATCCGGGGGGGAACGCGCGTGGTAATCCACCCCCCGCTGACTCAAACGATTCCGCTGCTAGCAACGGCGGCCGCGGCGGCCACGGCGGCAGCGGCGCTGGGACAAAGTCGAGACCAGCATCGCCCCCCCATACTGTTCCAGCCTCCCCCTCACTCTCCCCCCTACTCTCCGGTCCCCCCAGCTCTCCCAGCGCCCCCTCCCCCACATCCGCCACGCCATCCCTTCCCCCCCCCACCTCCGACACCTCCCGCACCGCCTCCTCCGCTCCTGGCGCGTCCGCGTCCTCCCCCCAAAACTCCCCGCCTCCCCCCGATGCTTCCGCGCCCGCGCTGAGCACTCCGCTGATTGCGGTGATTGCGGTGGCGGCGGCGCTGCTGCTGCTGCTGGTGACGCTGTGCGCGGGGATGCTGGGCATGCGGTACTGGCGGGGGAAGGGGGGAAGCGGTGGGCGCAAGGGTGCCGCTGCTGTGACGTCGCAAGTGTGAGTACTCGTGTCGCACATGTGAGTACTCGTGTCGCACATGTGAGTGCACGAGCGCCGCGTCATGTATTTTCTTCTTCCCTCACCCCGAATCTCCCCTTACCCCCTTCCTGCATTCCCCCTCCCCTCCTGCTCTTTCCCCCCAGCCTCCCTTCCGTCGCCCCTTCCCCCCACACCTCCGCCGCCTTCTCCGCCACCTCCGCCACCTCCTCCGCTCCCTACTCTTCCGCCACAGAAAACGCAGCAGGGGGAGGGTATTCCGCCGCGTTGGGGGGAGCAGGCGGCGCAGCAAGCGGGAGTGGGGGAGGAGGAGGAAGCGGGTGGGGGAGCGTATCAGGGCGGAACATGGGAGGGGGCGGAGGGGATGTGGTATTGAATCTGGGCGCGTGGGCGGGTAGCAGTGGCGGAAGGAGCGGGAGTGGCGGATTGAGCATGGGGAGCGGAAGCATGGGTTCGGGCGGAAACATGGGGAGCGCGGGCGCGGGCATGAGCGGAATGGTGATGCGCATGGACGTGATCCGCGCGGCGACGGGGGGGTTTGCGGCGGAGAACATCATTGGCAAGGGGGGCTTCGGTACCGTGTATAAGGTGGGGAATGGCGGAGACGCGGAAACGAGAGTCCTGGGGTCATGGGGCCGTGGAATTATGGAATGATGGGACGTGGAGGCATGGAATTCATGATTGGAATTTCTGAGTCTCGTGTGATAGGAGAGTATTTGTGTCGGTTCGTCGCTTCCGCTGCGAGCGCCGACTGCGCGCCTGCACCTTTTTCACAGCTTTGCGTGCGACCGTGCGACTGCTTCGTATGGCTATCTCTGCCCCGACTGCGTCGCTGACTTTATACTGGTTTGTGTTGTGCATGCGCGTGCGCTTGTGTGTGTGCGTGTGTGCGTGTGGCGCGTGTGTGCGCGCAGGGCGAGTTGGCGGACGGCACGGGGGTGGCGGTGAAGCGAATGGAGGTGCAGCAGCTGGCCAAGAAGGGCGACTCGGAGTTCCAGGTATGTCGCACCCAGGCCTGCAGTCAACGGGCAGTCAACGGTCAGTCAACGGGCAAGAAACGGGCACGAAGTCAGCACACTGAGAGAAACACAAAGCAGAAGGAACAACGGAAGAGCACGGCAAAAGAGAGCATCCACAGCATGGGTCCATGGCGTGCTGCATTCGTCATTGTCCTCCGCAGAGCGCCACGAGCGCCATGGGTGGAAGGCCAGCTGACAATGACGAACGTGATTGCCCCCTCATAAAATCACACCCTCCTCTCCTCCCCTCCCCCCTCTTCCTCCTTCCCCCCTTCGCCCGGTCGTCACAGGCGGAGATCGAGGTTCTCTCGTCGGTGCGCCATCGCCACCTGCTAGGGCTACTGGGCTATGCCGTGGAGGGTAACGAGCGCGTGCTGGTGTATCAGCTCATGGCGCGCGGCCCGCTCAGCCGCCACCTCTTCGACCACCGCCGCCTCGCGCTGCCGCCGCTGACGTGGCGCGCGCGCGTGTCCGTGGCGCTGGACGTGGCGCGCGGTGTGGAGTATCTACACTCGCTGGCGCACACGTCGTTTATTCACAGGGATCTGAAAGCGAGTAATATTCTGCTGGACGAGGGCATGCGCGCGCGCGTGGCGGATTTCGGGCTGGTGAAACACAGCAAGGGCGACGGAATGCAGAGCATCGAGACGCGCATCGCGGGCACGTTTGGGTACCTGGCGCCGGAATATGCGGGTGAGAAGAGGGGAGGGAGTTAGGGAGGGTAGGAAGGGGAAGGGGTGAGGGGAGAGGGGAGAGGGGAGAGGGGGAGAGATGAATGGGCGTTACTCATATCTCTCACATATCACATTGCGGGCACGTTTGGGTACCTGGCGCCGGAATACGTGGGTGAGAAAGAGGGCCTGGGTGAGGCGGGAAAGGGCGCGGGCGGGAGGGAAGGGGCATTAGATAGGGAGGACGTGGGTGTGGATTTACAGCCCGCATCCTCCCTAACCCCCTCATGCATGCACCTGTTACCCTTGGTGCTCCCCGGCTTGCACCCTTTCTCTCCCCCCCTTTTATCCAGCAGTCATCGGGAGAGTGACCACCCACTCACACTTGCACTCCCTGCTCCCTCATTTGTATCCCGCCAGTAACGGGGCGAGATTTTACCACGCGAAGGGTCACGTCATGTACAGCTATGGCGTGGTGCTCGTGAATCTGATCACGGGGTATGGGTTTCTGAGCATAGGCTCAAGCCTGACTCCCTCTGTCCCCTCCAAAAAAACCCCGCAGTGACCGGGCGGGTTACCACACGATCCGATGTGTACAGCTATGGCGTGGTGCTCATGGAGCTGATCACGGGGCGGCGTGCACTAGATGACTCCAAGGCGGACGAGGCCGCGCACCTTGCCACGTGGCTCGCTCCCCTCGTGCCACTCCGGGACCAGCTCGCTAAGGTGCGGGGAATGGGAGAGGGGGTGGATGAAGAGGGGAAAGGGAGGAGTTGTAGGGGGAAAGGGTGGTGGTGGGGCTTTTGTGGTGGCTTTTGAGTTTCCTGCGTGAACAGCCGCCCGTCAAGTCATTCCAAGGCCATCGTAACTAAGGTGGGGTTGGGAATGTGGCGGTTGGGAGAGAGCGGGTATTTAGTGGACGAGGAGGAGTCAGTGGGAAATTCAAGAAGCCATACCATGGAGTTTTTGAGAATTCTCAAATTCAAGAAGCCATACGATGGTATGCCATGCATGGTCAATGATGTGTCCCGTATGGCAGTGGCTGTTTGTCGCTTACTTCTTTTGCTTCTTCCCCCACCTTCCTTGCCGTGCCTCAGGTCGTAGACCCGGTCCTCTTGCCTGAGATGCCCGAGGCGCATGGCTCGGCGCATGGGTACGGCGGAGTGTTCCCATCGGTGTGTGCGGTGGCAGACCTGGCAGTGACGTGTGTGGCGAGGGACCCTCGGCAGCGACCAACAATGGGGGGCGTTGTGGGCGTGCTGGCGCCGCTGCTGCAGCAGCAGGAGCGGGAGGAAGAGGAGGCGCGGAAGGAGCACAGCAATCAGGTGAGGGATTGGGTGGGGCCGCATTCGTGGTTGCAGCTTTGCTGTTGCATCCCCCTTTTCCTTGCTGTTTTCCGTTTCCTAGTTCCCACTTTCCCTTCTTCCCACTTTTCCCCTTCTGCCTTCCCCATTCCCCATTCCCCTTTCCCACACCACCACCACTGTGGCACAGGTGGCTGAGGAGGACGTGAGTGTTGCAGGCATCGATCTGGGAGTGAGTCTGGCAGAGGCACTGCTGCAGTGGCAGCACATGGACGCCCAAGGACCATTTGATATCCCCGCTTGTGCATGTGTTGATGCTCGTTCGCATGCGATTGCCCCTCTTGAGGCGATTGCTGATGGCGATGGTGATTGTGCTGACGCCCCTGCTCTTGCCACGGCTTCTGCTTCTCCTGATGAGGCCATCTTCTCTCCTGCTCCTGCAACTGCTGCTGCTGCTGTTGCTGTTTCAGCAGCTGCTGCTACTGGCGCCGCAATCTCTGCATTGTCCCAGCTTAACAGCCCTCACACCAACTTTCACTCTCACCCTCACTCTCACCCTCACCACCTATCGCTGGTGATCGACCCGTCTCCCTCCTCCTCGGGCGCTTACAGCTTCGGCTCCGGTCGGTACGCGGCAATGCCTGCAGCTTTGACTGGCACAGGCACACCAGGGGACATGACCCCCCACGTCCTCACTCCCACCCTCACCACCCCCAGCACCACCACCACCACCAGCCGCAGCAGCAGCGGGCGGCTCGGCTCGTCCTCTTCCTCGGGCGATCGCAGCATTTTCCTGTCCAGCGGCCCGCTTAGTGTAGGCTCGGATGGGTACCCAACCCCATCCATGCGGTTAGGTTCGGACGGGTACCCTACGCCGTCGGTTCGGGATTCGTGGAGTGGTGGGTGGGTGAGTGACAGGAGCGAGAGTGGGAAGAGAGGGAGTGGGGAGAGGAGGGGGAGAGGGAGTTTCAGCGGAGGACTTGATGCAGCAGGGGAACCGGTGAGCTGGACGAAAGGGGGGTCGTTCATTATAAAGAGAATTGGGGATCAGTTGGAGGACGTGCTTGTAGAGAAGGGTGCGTGTAAGAGGGGAGGAAGAGGGGACGAGGAGACCAAGGGTCTGCTGCTGTGCGCTGAAGACTCTCTGAGGGGTTCGGATGGGTGTGATGCAGAGGGCTTTGGATCAGAAGCGGAAAGAGTGAGGAAGGGGGCAGGGGTGCAGACTCAGCAGGTGGCAGACATTGGAGCTGGGAGGCAGAGGGGGAGAGAAGGCGGGGCAGCAGGCGGTAAGCTCATGAGTGAAGTGGTTGTTGGGGCTGGTGTGAGGAGAGGGGGAGGGGGAGAGCAGGGAGGAGGGAACGTGAAAGGAGGAGTGGGAGGGGGCATGTCGCTAGCGGAGCAGTATGTGCGGCAGGGATCATGGGAGGGGGGGTCGTCGGATGGGAGTGCGAGGAGTATCCCCACGTTTATCCAGCCACGCCTTGCACTGTCAGGCCGGTGAACTGAATGTGGCAGGCAGAGAGAGCAGAGGACGCCTGGAGCTCGGTGTATGGCATGAGTGAGTGGTTGTGAGGGGTTGGACTGGGATATTGTAACTGTGCACCTGATATTGGAAGGGATGTGGGCTACCGTAACTGGTTGCATTGCAACACAGAGCTAATTGACTGGGGGAAATGGGTTAACCATGGCAAGGCGTGGGGCGTTGGTGAAGGGGAACCATTAGTAGGGGTATGCGTGTGCGTGTGTGTGTGGTGGGTGCGGGTAGGCATGGCAGCCGTGCGGTGTGCAGCCATCCTAAGTTAGAAACTCTGGGTGGAGATGGGTAGTGATGAGTGACAAGGGGTGGTGAGGTGTGGTGATGGGGAGCGAGTGGTAGCAATGGGTGGGTCGCAGAGGCATGTTCACAGTGCATGTGGTGCATACGGGGTGCATGTGGTGCATGTGGTTGAGATGGGGCAGCAAGGGACCTTCCTGACTGGTGCATGCCAATGTGTTACCTTCTTGGTGACCATATTTATTACAATGTAACTGCTGACCCTTGGGGGCCCTTGCTAATTATTGATCATTTTCCACATCAGACTACAATGCACAGCTTTTGCGTTTCATAAGTGTACATGCCTTGCATACGATTTTGAATGCAGTTGAAATTTACTGTAGAAGCCTGTACCAAATGTAATGTTCACATTGCTGAGCCCAAGTAGCCTGAAGTTTGCATTTGCACCATGGCTTTGGCTAACACAAAAGTGGTGCTTCATATAGTGAAGGGCTAGAGGAATATGGAGGAGGGCAGCAGAATGTATGATATAATAATATAGGTTCGGATAAACACGTTACAGGAATTGAAGTACCGGTAACCATCATGGTACCCAAATAAGAGACAGCATCAATACACAGGACATGCATCAGGAGGTTGTGTTACGTGGTATGTGGTCAGTAGGTTGTATGGGGTCAGCGGTGGTATGTGGTGTGCTCACAACCACGTGTCAAACTTATATGCTATGGTCTATCTAGGCTGTAGTGGGGTAGACACTATAGGGTACAACATTTATAGATTTCCTAATTGTACCCACATTTTCCTTAGTCATTCCATTCCTCATTTCTTCACATGGTATAGAGCAGGTTCCCTAGTGGGAACGCTTCTTAGGGCCCACCACTGAAATCGATTTTTTTTTTTTTTTCCTGACCGGAGCGCGAGTCGCCCCTGCCCGAGGCGCGCCCCGTGGGCCGCCCTCTCGTCGCGTTCCTCTGCCCTTCTGGGAGCCTTCTGTCGTGCACAGGGCATCCGCCAGACCTTCACGCTTCCGACCTCTCCACAACAAAATGGGATTGCTGAGCGCCGCATTGGCATGGTCATGGACGTCGCTCGTACGTCCATGATCCATGCGGCTGCTCCCCATTTTCTGCGGCCGTTTGCGCTTCAGTACGCAGCGCATCAGATCAACCTTCAGCCCCAGGTCTCCTTGCCGGAGACCTCCCCCACCTTGCGGTGGACGGGGAAGGTTGGCAATGCGTCTGCGTTTCGTGTCTGGAGATCTCGGCCGTTTGTCCGCGACTTGTCTGCGGACAAGCTGTCCCCCCGTGCTGTTCCCTGCGTCTTCCTTGGCTTCCCCCCTGACGCTCCTGGCTGGCAGTTTTACCACCCCACCTCGCGCCGTGTTCTGTCCTCCCAGGACGTCACGTTTGACGAGTCGGTTCCTTACTACCGTCTCTTCCCCTACCGCACTGCACCCCTCCGCCCGCCGCCGCTCTTCCTTGCGCCAGGTCCTCCCCCGGTAGACCCTCTCCCCCCTCAGGGTCCTGCCCCGTCAGGTGTGTCCCAGGTAGACGCAGTCGAGCCTGTTGAGGTAGCTGTTGACTCTCGTACTGCTAGGGGTGTTGCGCCTGGGGGTGCTGAGTCTGGGGGTGCTGAGCCTGGAGGTGCTAAGTCTGGGGGTGCTGGGCCTGGGGGTGCGGAGCCTAGGGGTGCTAAGCCTGGGGGTGCGGAGCCTGGGGGTACGGAGCCTGGGGTTGCTGAGCCTGGGGGTGCGGAGCCTGGGGGTGCTGGGTCTGCTCATGTGGCCTCTCGCGCTGCTGGGTTTGGGGCCCCTTATGGTGCTTCGTCGAGGCGGGAGCTACCCTCTCCACAGGAGCTGCGCGAGTGGTTTGCCCGGCGCTGGAGCCGTGCTGCTGGAGCTGGAGGTGCTGCTGTTACTGCTGACCCTGGGGTCGGCACTGGAGTTACTGGAGCCACTGGTCTTGGAGGTGCTCGTACTGGCGGTACTGGAGATGCTGGGCCCGGGGGTGGTGCTGACGGTCCTGCTGGAGTTGGTGCTGCTGGAGCTGGAGCTGCTGGGGGTGTTGGCGCTGGAGGTGCTGCTGGCGCTGGTGCGTCTGAGGGTGCTGGAGTTGGCGCTGTTGGAGCTGGAGGTGCTGCTGGCGCTGGTGCTGCCGCTGGGGGTACTCGTACTGTCCCTGCTGGTTCTGGAGGCGCTGCGCGGCCGCGGCCGTACTTCGTTCCGCTCCTTGAGAAGGTTCTTGGTCTCCCGCCTTCTACTGGTCCTGCTCCTCCCTTAGAGTGTCCACAGCCTGTCCAGTCGCGGTCACAGTTACAGCCCGCCTCCCCCCTACCTGCTCCTTCTCCCTACACTGGTCCTACTAGAGGTCTTGCTGAGCGTCGTGAGCCTGCGTCTCGTCCTGCGTCGCCTGTTCGTGCTGCTCGCACTAGTCGTCGTGCTTCGCGTCCGCGTCCTCGTGCGGTCCCAGGCACACACCAGATGGCACTGCGTCCTTCCACTGCTCCTCTGTGTATCCCGTTGCCGTCTCCTCCAGAGTCCTCTCTTCCTGTTCTTGCTGACCCGGAGTCTGACTCTCTTCGTGTTGCCGGTCCTACTGTCACGCGTCTCCTGGCTCCTGTTGTCACTGACCCTTCCTTTGACTCCGCTGCTGCGTCTGCCCTAGTTGCTGAGCTTGTCGACTTTGCTGCTCGCTGCCGTCTAGACTACTCTGCTAGTCTTGTTGCTGAGTCTGAGTCTGTCTGTCCTCCGTCCGTCGGGGGTGAGTGTGCTCTTAGCACGGACGTCCTTGAGGACAGGCAGGAGGAGTTCCAGTGTTTTGCTGCTGCTTTGTCTCATCTCGTGTCCACGCTGACTGCCCCTGAGGGAGACCCGGATGCACCAGACATCCGGACTCTTCGATCGTACGCTGAGTCGATCGAGGGTCCCTACTCCCCTCAGTGGCAGTCAGCCATGGACGCAGAGATGGCTTCCTGGAAGTCCACAAGCACCTACGTCGATGAGGTTCCCCCACCTGGGGCGAACATCGTCAATGGCATGTGGATTTTCAAGGTGAAGCGGCCGCCGGGTTCTTCGCCTGTCTTCAAGGCGCATTACGTGGCTCGAGGCTTCAGTCAGCGGCAGGGAGTTGACTACTTTCAGACCTTCTCTCCCACCCCAAAGATGACCACTCTTTGGGTGCTGCTGCACATAGCCGCTCAGCGCGACTACGAGCTTCACTCTCTTGACTTCAGCACAGCTTTTCTGCAGGGCAGCCTGCACGAGGAGATCTGGCTGCGCCGCCCACCTGGCTTCACTGGGTCGTTTCCTCCTGGTACCCAGTGGAGCCTCCGGCGGCCAGTCTACAGTCTCCGCCAGGCGCCCCGTGAGTGGCACGACACACTGAGGACTACACTTGCGGCTCTTGGGTTTGCTCCTTCTACAGCCGACCCGTCGCTGTTTCTGCGCACCGGCACCTCTTTGCCGCCGTTCTACATCCTCGTGTACGTCGACGACTTGGTCTTTGCCACTGCTGATACTGATGGACTCGCCCACGTGAAGTCCGAGCTGCAGAAGAGACAAACGTGCACAGACCTGGGTGAACTGCGTAGCTACCTTGGCTTGCAGATCACCCGGGACAGAGCACAGCGCACCATTACCCTGACTCAGTCACACATGGTGCAGCAGGTCCTTCAGCGCTTCGACTTCACGTACTCCTCGCCTCAGGCCACTCCTCTGTCTACTCGCCACTCGCTCTCAGCTCTGCCTTCGGATGAGTCCGTAGAGCTGAGTGGCCCGTACCCAGAGCTTGTTGGCTGCCTCATGTACCTGATGACCTCCACACGACCTGACCTAGCATACCCTCTTAGCATCTTGGCACGCTATGTTGCTCCTGGGAGACACCGACCAGAGCACATGGCTGCAGCGAAGAGGGTGTTGCGCTACTTCTGCAGTACGTCGGGCATGGAGCTAGTGCTTGGAGGGCGACGTTCAGTGGTTCTCACAGGTCACGCAGACGCTTCTTGGGCTGACGACCAGGCTACGCAGCGGTCGTCACAGGGTTACACCTTCAGCCTTGGTTCCGGCTCTGTTTCGTGGCGGTCTACCCGCTCGTCTTCTGTTCTCGGCTCCAGCCGTGAGGCTGAGATCTACGCGGGGGCCATGGCTGCACAGGAGCTACGCTGGCTCACCTACCTGCTGACTGACCTAGGAGAGCCGCCTCGTTCTCCTCTAGTTCTGTACGTAGACAACAAGGCCATGCCGGCCTTGTGTCGGGAGCAGCACAGACTGGAGCACAGAACGAAGCACATTGCTCTTCGCTACTTCCTTGCTCGTGAGCTGCAGCAGCGTGGTCAGCTGCGCCTTGCTTACGTGGCCTCTGAGGCCAACACTGCTGATATTTTTACCAAGGCACTTCCGCCTTGTGATCGTCAACGCTTCTGTACGATGCTAGGTCTTGTGCCTACTTGGCCTCACTTGCTCACTTCTTGACCTTGTTTGTACTGTGATCTTTCTATACATGCACTTGCTTGTTTACCTTTATATATGATCTTGCATGTGAACTGGTCTTGTGGCCTTGAACTTGTGCTCGGAATGTGTGGTGACGTTGTGATCCACCCTGAGCTTGCTTTGCTTTGCTTGACTGGTCTTGTGACCGCTTGTTCTCCCCCACTTTGCCTATGGGGGTGTGTCAAACTTATATGCTATGGTCTATCTAGGCTGTAGTGGGGTTAACACTATAGGGTACAACATTTCTAGGTTTCCTACTTGTACCCACATTTTCCTTAGTCATTCCATTCCTCATTTCTTCACACCACGCACCATGTGCTCTCATCATTCCAGCAGCGCATGCCTATTAGAATGGACTAAGATACTAGCGGAAGCTTTAGTAGTCTTAGAACCTCCTCCTAAAGCCTAGGAATCCTAGGAGCCCACTTGGGCATGAACCATGCTAGAACCAAAGTGGTTTCCAAAAGTGAAATACCAACAAGAGAGAACCCTAACCTATAGGGTTTGGGAGGTGGTCCACTCTAAAGAGTGTACACCACAAGTTCTCCCAACCCAACCAATGTATTCTACACTACCATAGTGTAGATGTACCACTACATATGTTTATTGGAGCAACCCGAATTAACCTTAATTCCAACACCCCCCCTTGCTCCAATAAGCATTAAAGTTCACCCATAAATCAAAATACAACCCCTCCAGCGAATGAAGCCTTGGCCTTCGCAGCAATCACTCGCATGCCGATGCGCTCCAGGTTCTCATGCAGCTGCAAGCTTGGAAGAGCTTTGGTGAGCATGTCGGCATCCTGGAGGTGGGAGCGTACTGAGTGCACCTCGACCTCCTGCTGGCGCACCGCATCCCGTACAAAGTGCCATGCCACCTTAATGTGCTTGGTGCGCTGATGGAGAATGGGATTGTGGGCAAGGGAGACAGCTGCCTTATTATCACAGAGCAATGGAATAGCCCCCCCATCCCCCACATGCATCTCTGCCAACAGACTCCTCAACCAAATGGCCTCCTTGGCCCCCTCCGATAGAGCTTTGTACTCAGCTTCAGAAACGCTTGCTGCAACACTGTCTTGCTTTTTGCTATACCAGCTGATTGCTCCTCCTCCCAGCTTAAAGATGTAGGCAGAGCGACTCTTGCCATCAGTCTCACCACCCCAATCCGAGTCTGTGTACCCGACAACCTGCTCACCACCTTGGCGCTCATACCTGATGACACGATCAGCTGTGTCGACCAAGTACCTGAGTGCTCTCAGTGCAGCGCGCATGTGAATGCGTCTTGGTGCCACGCAGGACTGTGCAAGGGTGTTGACAGTGAAAGACATGTCAGGACGGGTGGTCACAGCAGCATACATCAAGCTGCCAATGAGACTCTGGTATACCTTGACATCAGCTGCAACACCTTCCTCAGTTGACCAAGTACCATTCCTGATCTTAGAGAGATCATTGGGTGACATTGGAGTATGCACCCTATGGGTCTCCTTCAGCAGATCACCAAACCTTCCCTGGAGACCACGGACATACTTCTCCTGACCAATCTCCAACCACCCATCCTTGACCGACCTGCGAACCTCCACACCAAGGTACATGGATACCTCACCTAGATCCTTCATCTGGTACCTCTGAGCAAGCACCTCCTTGACCTGACCGATCAGCTCCAAGCGTGGAGACACAAGCAAGAGGTCATCCACATACACCAATACATACACTGGCTCTTCATCCACAAACCTGATGTACAAAGCCTCATCACATGCACTGCGGTCAAACCCTGCTGCAATCAAGGTGGTACCAATCTCCTCATTCCAAGCACGAGGCGCTTGCTTGAGCCCATAGAGAGCTTTGCGCAAGCGATGCACCCTACCTGTACCATCATCAAATCCCTCAGGTTGCCTCACATACACTTCCTCTTGAAGGAGTGCATTGAGGTAAGCATGATCAACATCCTCCTGTTGTACATGCCACCCTTTTACCGCGGCTTCTGCAAGAAGCACCCGACCTGAGGTCAGCTTGCCCACAGGGGCAAATACCTGATCATAGTCCTTCTCAGGCTCCTGAGTGTACCCCTTAGCAACAAGGCGAACCTTGTGCTGTACCACCTTATCCTCCTTGTCAGTTTTCCTGCGGAAAACGTACCGGACCCCAATGGCCTTCTTACCTGGAGGTAAGTCAACCGGCTCTGGATCCCATACACCCATAGTGCGCATTGCATTTACCTCCTTCTCAGCGCCTGCCTTCCACGCAGGGCCCTCAGGGCCACGCAGGGCCTCAGCGAGTGTGCGTGGGACATCATCTGTGCTCACACCTGCCAGTGCAACACCTTCCACCTCCCTGGCCAAACATAGCATGCCCTCAACCACACCAGCATCCCCCCCTACCTCCTCACCACCTGTACCAGACTGGATACCAAGCACCTGCAAACCCGTAACCGGTGGTGGGGAGGTAGTCGCTGGTGACAGAGGGGCACCCGTAGAGAGAGGGATAGAGCGCTGACCAGAGGAGGAGGAAGAGGAAGTAGCCTGTGTAGCGGATCTCCGCTGAATGACCGAGGGGCCACTGAGCTGCTGCAGAGGGGTGGGCTGCTGCTGCACCGACACACTCAGCGGTGCCGGTGGCAGTGGTGAAAGTGGCATCTCAACGTCGTCAGCCGTTGCTGAAGGTGGCGAGAGTGGAAGAGGGAGGAGTTGGGAAATTGCAGCTGCATCCTGCAGAAGCTCCCCAAATTCCTTTGCCTTGTCCCAATCCTTCCACATCACATTCTCAAGGAAATCAACATCCCGAGCAATGCGAATGCGCATGATAGAAGGGTCCAGCATGCGCCAACCCTTGCTCTCCATGTCCACCCCAACACAGACACACATGACAGCCCGTGCATCAAGCTTGCCACCCTTCTCATGCCCATGCAACATGACACTCCCCATGCAACCCCAAATCCGAGCCATGCCCACATGCGGCTTCTGGCCGGACCACGCCTCCATTGGTGTGATGGAGGCAGGCAAAGCACTGTGGGTGACCCTGTTCTTAACCCACACGACCCACATCAATGCTTCACCCCACAAGCGAGCAGGGAGACCACTGTCGACCAACAATGTGCGAATCCCCTCTGCCATCGTCCTGTGCCACCTCTCCACAACCCCATTCTGTTGCGGTGTATCTGCGACGCTCAATTGAGTTTTAATGCCAAACTCCGCCTTCCATGCTTTTACAGCTTCCCCCAAGAACTCGCCACCCCTGTCCGAGCGAACAGCCTTCAGCTTCCGCCCACACTCCAACTCCACGTCCTTATGCCACTGGCGAAGGACTTTTGCAACTATGGCCGATTCCTTGTTGGGGAGGGGGAACGACCAAACTCGTCTGGTGAAGTCGTCAATGAGACTGAGGACATACACCGCTCCTCCCAGTGATGGTGTGCGCACCGGCCCCCACAAATCCATGTGGACCTCATCCAAAGGCCCAAGTGCCCGAGACGCCTCATGGGGAAACGGCTTCCGAGCCGACTTTCCCAATAAGCAGGGCTCACATGGGGAACAATCAGTGTTCCCCCCCCCAATCTCCAAGCCCAGTACACTGTTCCCCCGAGCCATCTGTTGCAATGTTGTGGGGGCGGTATGACCAAGGCGGCGATGGGCAAGGGTCAATGGGGAAAATGAGGAGGACGACTTAGCTGCAAGAGCACTGCCCTGTGTGCCCTGAGCAAGAGGAAGAAACATCCGCACCAATCCATGGTCCCTTCCCCTCTCCTTTTCTCCAATCGCCAACACCCGCTCCCCCCGTTGAAGGACACATCTCTTGCCTTTGAATGTGACAATGACATCTCGAGAGGTGAGGTGTGGGACTGACAGCAGACGCGTGTGCATCTCAGGCACAAGGTGGACCTTTTGAATCCTCAGCAGCTGACCTCCAGCACCAACCACTGGCACCTCACCCATGCCAACAGCTTTCACCACCCGTCCATCTCCCAATCTAACTCCCCGAACCTCTGGTGGTTGAAGCTTACTTTTGAAGTCCGATGCATAAGGAGTAAAGTTGTGGCTGGCCCCACTGTCAATCCACCACCCCTCTCGCGGCTGCTCCTCTCCCACTGCTGCAACTGCTTCTCCAACCACTGCCTCTGCCTTGTCATCCTGCTCCTCCTCATCCGCCACCTGTGCCTTGCCGTTGGACCTACGACCCCCCCGCTTTAAGAATGCCGGAATGCCTCCCTTAGGTCGATGAGGACATCGCTGCCATGCATGTCCCTCATCCCAACAGCCATGACACAACCCCCGAGGAGCCATGCCCTTGGACCCCCAAGGGAAATCAAGCACTCCCGCTTTGCCTTTCCCTTGACCCCATCTGCCTGAGTTGGTGTCACTGCTGCTACCGCTGTCTCCATGCTTTCCTCCCTTGACCCAATTTCCCCTGCCGCTGCTGCCCACTTTCGTACCCGCTCCAAATGTGGCTACACCATCCGATCTTGGTGCGACACCAATCCGCATCTCCTCGCTCCTCAAGGAGGTAAGCAGCTGATCCTTAGTGAGCGATGATGACTGGTTGTTCAACACCACCTTCAGCATCTCAAAGTGAGGAGGTAGTCCTTTGAGTACCCTCATCATCCACTCCTCAACCTCCTCCTTTCCTCCTGCAGCCAAGTACTTGGACCTCAAGTCCTCGGCACGCGCCCAGTATGCAGCCACCCCCTCCCCCTCTTTCATCTTCAATGAAGAGAGCTCATCAGAGAGTGCCATCCGGTTACACAATCCACGCTGAAGGTAGAACTCCTTCACTCGTATGTATGCCGCTGCTGTGCCTGCAGGAATTCGGGTGACCGCTCTTGCTCCGCCATCAACAGGTGCGCTGCCCAACTCGGTCTTGCCGCCGAACTCCCGTACCAAGCGAATTAGCTCATCTGGCACCAAGGCATTGCAGAATTGAGCGAATGCCTTCTGATTTTTTCTCTCCCACTTCAGCCGTGCGTCACCCGATGCAGGCCGCTCCTCCGAACCATCAAAGTACCCCCATAGATCGTGTGCCTCTGCCCATTGTTCGAATCGGAAGCTCCAAGTCCAATAGTCGCTCCCGTCGAACTTTGGCGCACTCTCCAGCTTCCCTTCACCTGACTCATGATCCATTTGCGGCAGACACTCTGGAGATTGACGTTGAGGTGGTGGTGGAGGCAATGGTGGCGGTGGTGGAGACGATGTGGACAGATTTGCCCCCTCTTGGTTTTTGGAGCGTAACTCCGCGCTCGAACCTCCGAATGATGAGTCGTTTGTCTCAGATGAATCTTTGCTCCAAGACCGTTCCGATGATGTATCGCGCTCTTGGATCCCGCTTCCAAGCTGGCCGCTTAAACTCGTCGAAGTTGGCCGATTTCCCGTCGACGAAGACTCAACCGTTTCTCCCGATTTTTGGCTTGTTGGATGCGCCCTGGCCTCCTCTATCGGCGTCTGGCCTCCAATCTTTTTTCCGCGCTTTGAATCTTCCCCGATTCGCGATTTTCCAATTCGTCCGCCGGCAGTTTTTCGCGAATTGCGTCCGATCCCCTCGTCGATTGGTGACGACCCTGAGGCAACTGTTGTAGAGCGTGCTGAGACCTTTCCAACGGTATGCTGCACGTATTGATCGGCCAAAGTTGACTGAGCGCCTCCGTGGATGGATGCCGCTCTTCTCGTCCTCCCAAACGGATCCACACGATTTCCAGCAGTTTTCTTCTCTCCTCCTCCCCTCCCACGTCCAGAGTCCGCCACGGTGCAATTTCGGCAGCCCTTCGGGAGGAATGGAAGCTAACTAGCTTCCACCAAGATCTTATGGTCCAATGTCTTGAGTAACTCCTATTCCAACAGATTGCTAGGCCTTCCTTGCTCGGATACCATATTAGAATGGACTAAGATACTAGCGGAAGCTTTAGTAGTCTTAGAACCTCCTCCTAAAGCCTAGGAATCATAGGAGCCCACTTGGGCATGAACCATGCTAGAACCAAAGTGGTTTCCAAAAGTGAAATACCAACAAGAGATAACCCTAACCTATAGGGTTTGGGAGGTGGTCCACTCTAAAGAGTGTACACCACAAGTTCTCCCAACCCAACCAATGTATTCTACACTACCATAGTGTAGATGTACCACTACATATGTTTATTGGAGCAACCCGAATTAACCTTAATTCCAACAATGCCGAGTATATTATGTGTATGTGGGCTTTGCTACGTATCCATGTCATGTGCATATGGGTTGACCTATTCATGTAATGTGCATGTGGGTTGACCTATTCATGTCATGTGCATATGGGTTGACCTATTCAGGTCATGTGCATGTGGGTTGACCTATTCATGTCATGTGCATATGGGTTGACCTATTCATGTCATGTGCATGTGGGTTGACCTATCCATGTCATGTGCATGTGGGTTGACCTATTCATGTCATGTGCACGTGGGTTGACCTATCCATGTCATGTGCACCATCACAGGATAGTCATGCATGCGTGTGTACCCCTCCCATGGCTCCTTCCCCCTCCTCCTCCCTCCCTCACTCCCTCCCCTCCTCTCACTCCCCGCTCCCTCCACACCGTTCCTGTCTGCTCCTCCCTCTCCAGTCCCAACCTCCCCCCTCAAACCCCCGCCGGCTTTCCTCTCGTCCTCTTCCGCCTCTTTCTCCTCTTCCAACCCCTGTCCCTCTCCACTCTCCCCCTCTCCCCCCTCCTCCTCCCCCTCCTCCCCTTCCCCGCATGCCTCCCCAAACGCCTGGCTGACCCCCTCATGGTATTGCTCCTCCACATGCACGCGCCACCCGCCCTGCTGCCGCACACGGGCTAGGAAGAGCGCGAGGGAAGAGCCCCGATGCGGGGCAAAGAGAAACGCCTCTGGGGGGTAGAAGAGGGACGCTGCTGCTGCCCCCTCCCCTGCTACTTTCCCCTCTGCTGCTGTTGCTGCCCCCCCCGTTCCTGCTTCCCCTGCTGTTCCTGCCCCTGCCCCTGCTGCTGCTGCTGCTGCTGCTGTGTGTGTTTCCCTGGCTGCATCTATGCATGTACCGTCGGGTTCTGCTGCTCCCTCTGCTGATAGACCTGCTGCTTGCTGCGAGGTGGGGAGAGCGGCGGCACATGCAGCAGGGCAATGAGGGGCGGAGGAGGGCTGGGGGGAGGCGGGGGAGAGGAGAGCAGTGATCGTGTGCAACAGGTGCTCGTGATGCTCCTTGAAAAACGTGCTGCCATGGGGGAAGAGGGGGGGAGGGGGGGGAGGGGCGCACACACAGTGGGGTTTAGTAGGTTTGAGACGCCTCAAAAGGGTCGTTTGAGACGCCTCAAAAGGGTCGTTTGAGACGCCACCATAACAGGTGCTGGTGGTGTTCTCGAGGCGCCTCAAAAGACCCCCCCATAGCAGGTGCTGGTGGTGATGCACAGCACACATAGCGAGGGACACAGGTGGTCATGGGCGCTCAAGGAAGGTCAAGGGGAGTGAAGGGAGTTTGCGGAAAATGGATGTGAAGGGGAAAGAGATCCACGAGGGGATTGTGTTGTGGCAGCGGGAGCGAGAGAAGCGCATGAGCGCACCAGTCAGCCGCGATGACCGCGTCGAAAGGGGGAGAGTGGGCAGATGGCCAGTGGTGGGGCGGGGTGGGGGGAGAAGATGTCAATGAGATTCACGAGCGGAGTACAGCAGGGAAAGAGAGAGAGAGAGGAGCAAAGCAGCGCACCAGTCAGCAGCGATGACCGCGTCGAAAGGGGGAGAGAGGGCAGGTGGCCAGTGGTGCGGCGGGGGGTGGCTGTCCCAGCGTAGTGCTGCCACTGCCACTCTGGTGCCCCCGAACTGATGCCTGTTGGCCTCCACTGTGCGGCTTAGACCTGTTGGCATGCAGTGTGGTGGCATGCGGTGTGGTGGCATGCGGTGTGGTGGCATGCGGTGTGGTGGCATGCGGTGTGGTGGCATGAGGTGTGGCGGCATGGATGAGAGTGGGAATGGCAGAGGAAGAGAAAAGCAGGAAGGAGAGGAAGGAGGAGGGGGGAGTGGGAGATGAAGCAACGTATGTGACAAGGAATTGCATCACATGCGAGCACACATGTGGTGATGGAAAGAGGCGAATCGCAGCACGACGCCAACAGAGATCAATCGTCCCATACCTCCACCCCATAACACCACCCCATACCACCACCCCATACCACCACCCCCCATGACACCACCACATGCCATCCCATCCCATGCGCTCACGTGCAACCACGGTGTCGTTGCCATCAGTGAGCAGCACTCCCCCCACGCCCTGCTGCTGCACTGCCAGCGCCATGCCCGCCAGCCCATAACCCGCCCCTAGCTCCACCACCCTCCGACCCCTGCTTGGTGTGTGGGGGACGGTGGGGAGCAAACCCGTTTCATAAAACAGTGGTTTTTGCTTTTCCTTTTCCATTTTTTTAAGCATGCGATACTGTGTGGTGAACACGGCAAATGCGGTCAATGTGGCAAATGTGGCGGATGCAGCATGCCTTGCCCCAGCAGTACCTGAATCTTTGTGCATGTGCAATGAGGTAGCACGCCATCGCTTCTTCCGATGGCCACATGCCTGCCGCCATGCCACCATGCCATGAAAGCATTATTACACCAGTATCACGTCATGCCACAACATCACGTCATGCCACAACATCACGTCATGCCACATCATCACGTCATGCCACATCATCACGTCATGCCACAACATCACGTCATGCCACAACATCACGTCATGCCACATCATCACGTCATGCCACATCATCACTTCATGCCACATCATCACGTCATGCCACATCATCGCGGATTATAGGACACAAACAGAACGAGGGCGCTTAAGGAAAGGGAGAGGGGGGGTACATTGCTCAAATGTTTGGAGGGCTCGGGTGAAGTGAGTAAGGCAGGCACGATATCATAAGGTGATGCATGGAGAGAGTGTCTGATAGTGAGAGTGGAAGGAAAGGAGATCGTACACTCTTGCACACAAATGTGCACTATACACCATCAACGTACATTGTTTGACAACAAGTGTCATGACAACACGGGCCATCTGAGTGCGAAATAGAGAGCAGAAAGGAGTGAGAGGGAGAGAGTGGGTTGGAGCAGAAGAGAGAGAGAGCGAGGGAGGGTGCGAGGGAGGCTGACCCAGCAGCCCTGTGGTGTCGATGCCTGCTCTGGTCGCAGCTGCCATCTGAGTGCGAGATAGTGAGCAGAAGGAAGTGGGTGCGAGGGGAAGAGCGAGAGCGAGGGAGTGTGCGAGGGAGACTGACTGACCCAGCAGCCCTGTGGTGTCGATGCCTGCTCTGGTCGCAGCCGCCATCTCAGTGAGACGCACTCGCCCTGCCACTCGATGCCTGGCGGAGTGATCAGAGACAGTGGGTTCATGGGGTGGAAAGATGGGGGGGTGGAGGGATGGGGGATGGTGGGGTTGAGGGTGGTGGGGTGGAGGGTTGGAAATCACACCCTATCATTTAAAGGGAGGAGGGGTGAGACACGAAAAGAACCTATAAATCTGCTTTTGAGTCGACTCAAAGTGAGACACGAAAAGAACCTATAAATGATAGTGTCTGATTTCCAACCCAGCGATTTCACAGATTGAAAAGGCACAGCAGCAGTTGGCACGGACCATATGGTGATCTCCCTCACGAGGCTGGAGAGTCGATCAGTCAGGCTGGACGAAGGAGGAGGGTGGTGTTGGGATGTGGAGGAAGGGGAGGTGGTGGTGATGGTGGTGTTGGTGGCGACGGCGGAGGAGGAGGAGAGGGAGGAGAGACAGGAAAGTGGCGAGGAGGGGCAGCAGCGGTGGCAGGGGGTGGGTTGAACGGGGATGCAGTAGATGAAGGGACGATCCCACTGCAGCGACCCTCCCATGCCTACTCCGCTCTCCGACCCCAGATTCTTTCCTCCCACGATTTCCGCCCCTGTGGCTCGCTCCCCTCTCCCAGGCAACTCCCCCGGGACTGCTCCCCCGCCATCCGCTTCAGCCGCGGCTGCTCCCCCGCCATCCGTGCGTGGCGCGGCTGCGCCTGGCCCCGCGCATGACGCCTGCGCGGGTCGGCAATCGAACAGGTGGAACCCTCTGATTGGTCGGCGCGAAACCCGCTCATCACCCGCGCAGTTCCCGGAAGCCTCTCCCCTTCCGCCCGCGCTAGCATCCCCGCCTGCCCCCTGTCGCCTCTCCGCCCCCGCGTCTTCCCCCATTCCCCCTTTCCCCGCGGATTCCCTAAGCAGTGCGCGCGCTAGAAGCTTCCACCGGACGCGCGCCGAGCTTTCTGTCTGGAGCGAGCCACTCCTATCGCTCGCTCCCTTACTGACGTCATCAGCTGCAGCGGTCCGATTTGGCATTCTGGCCTCTTCGTATGTGCGGCTGAAAATTTCTCACGTCAACTTGTGCTGGTTGATTGACTAGTTACAGCCCTCATCGCTGGTAGTCAACTCGAGACATACAACTCCGTACACTGCTGCATTTTCCGTGAGCTTGTTTGTGTGATTTCGGTTTTAGTTGCTGGGCGACGTTAGGTTGTACATGTCTCACACATGTTCGGTTCTTTATCGTAGCTCAGAACGGTTCCACACGGTGGGAAGCGGTTTTCAAGGTTTACCGTTCTGCACCGTGACGAAATTTACTTGACCGCAGTGAGCGTACAGAAAGCTGTACAGTGCACAACCTGACGTCGCCCTGGTAGACACTCTAGAGAGCGAATGTCAAGAACAGCACTCAAATATTGCCCTTCATTTTGACAGTAATTATTTTCTAACATAGTAACGAATACGTATATTTCATACAATCAAACTCTTTACAGAAGAAAGGGAATGATAGCCCATCTGCTTGCTGGATAGTCGTCCATCTTTTTTCTATACCATCGCCTCGTTGCAATGCTTCGTCCACACAGGTAGAATAGTGTGAACAAGAACTCCGCCACACCTAACACAGTCTGGAAATGATACAGAGCAGTGACGTGGGAGGGACGTCACGTGAATGAGTCAATATACCAACTCAGTACACTTAAACATAAATGCAACAGAGATTGTGAAAATCAACAATTGGACAAAAACATAAACCCGTCAGCATGTAACAAAGGTGTGTTACGATTTTACATGGCAGAGAGCAAGTGACTCACCTGAGACATCAAGGCAACCCCCAGGAAGTCGATGCACTCAAAGAGGTAGTGCGGGCAGGTCACCCATTCAAATAAGCCACCATGAGGGACGCGGTATTCGTGACTGCCTGGTGGTGACATGTAGGACACATAGATGTAGTTACAGGAACTGATGAGGGTTACTTTTGAGTCGTTTCATTTAGAATCTAAGACACATGGACGCAGCTTCGGGGATTGACACAGAGATTAAGCATGCAATAAAACAGGCAGTGTAGTCGGCAGGGAGACGGTTAGGAAAGGACGTACCATCAGAGCGCAGCCGAGTGAGCAACCAGTGATGGTAAAAGTTCCCAGCAATGCCAATGAGGAAGAGTGGCAGGCCAAGGGGCATGAGATTCACAGTAGGCGAAACACTGCAGGGAGCAGCCGCACTGGCACCAGCAGCAGCGGTAGAAGCAGCAGCGGTGACGGTGGCGGCAGCAGCAGCAGTTGCAGCAGCAGTGGTGGCACGGGAGGGGAGAGTAGCAGCAGCAGCGGTGAGCCATTGGGACGAAAGGAGGACGTAGGCAAGGGTGCAGTATCCAAGCATGATGAACACTGTTGTAACCAGGCAAGTGGTGCCAGAGAAACGATGCAGGAAGAGAGTCTGATTCGGGATGGGGAAGCAGGGGGAGGGAGAGAAAAGGATAAGGGAGAGGGGAAGAGAGAGGGATAAGAGAGTTGGGAATAAGAGTTAGGAAGAGATAGTGGGAAGAGAGAGAAGAAGGGGAGAGAAGGACAGAGAGTGAAGATGGGTGCGAATGGTCAGCAGGATCACAAATAGCAGTTGTCAAAGCAAAAACAGTAACAAATCAACCAAGTGCTAAGAGCAGGCAATGTACTAGAAGCAGCAGAGCCCACGATCGGTAACAAATCTGTTCACACAAACCCCGGAAAACAACCTTCTACTTACTTCCAGGCATCGCTTGGAATAGTGCACCAGGCAGGCCGCACAGACCAGCACCAGGCGCCACTGTTCACTTGCAATCGCTGCTACTAGCTGCTCCCTCACACCCATCTGTCCCTCCCACCCGGGCTTCCCAGTCCCAGCAGGAGCAGGCATCCAAGAGGCAACGGTTGGTGGGAGCGGAGAGGGAGAGTGAGGGAGCATGTGTGTGGCGCGGAGGAGGTGGAGGGCGGGCGAGAGTCCCAGGGCGGCTGAAAGGAAGAGAGCAGCGATGAGTGCTGCTGGGAGGTAGAAGAGGAGAAGGCCCACACGAGAGGGTATCTGACAGGGGTGGGGTGGGGTTGGGAAGAGGGTTGTGGAGAGAGTTGGTAGCAATTTCAGCCCGAAATGCTAAAAAGAATGCGAGAATAGTTGTGGGGAAGGAACATGTGCATGTGAGGGGACTCTGGCAATGCAGTGGAACGGGAAGGCGTGCGTGTGGTATGTGAGACGCACGCACACCACGATCTCGCTAGTGTCTAAGCTTGCTGGCATGCTTGTATGCTCGCACACATGATGGCAGGATGATGTGAGGAGTCACCTGAATTGACTTCCACTTCGCAGTGGAGGCGAATTTGGAGTATCCGAGGTTGAATCCCAGCAGCTCACATGCTGCTTGCACTGCAGCCGTCGCCACCAGCTGCCAGCAGAGAGAGAGAGAGAGAGAGAGAGAGAGAGAGAGAGAGAGAGAGAGAGAGAGAGAGAGAGAGAGGGAGAGAGAGAGAGAGAGAGAGAGAGAGAGAGAGAGAGAGAGAGAGAGAGCGAGAGGCGTCAGACGACTCAAACACCACAGCAAATAGCAGAGTTGCTGTCACATAAGGTTAGTGCGCTCACGGTGGCGTGCTTAATCTGGCAGAGTAACTTGACAAGTGACAGCCTCGGCGATGGGCCTAGTAGTGAAATAGCCAGCAGAGAGCGACGAACTTGGGTTGCCACAAGGACATCCAACGATAGAAGTTTGTTGAGGAAATAAACTTAGAACCGACGATACTCTAGCAAATAGTTCGGCTCGTGCACAAGGTTAGCGCGTTTTGTATGGCGTGCTTGGCTTGGCCGAAAAAAAAAAAAAAAAAAAAAAAAAAATCAAGAATTTTTATCTCACCTGGATCACCAGGAAGCCATAGATGGAGGGAAGCAGTGAGAGCGGGAAGAAGTATGCCGTCCAGCCAGCAGGCAGCATGGACGGCTGAGAGCAGGGACCGAGAGCCCACGGCACGCTGTACGCCGCGCCACTTGCGCTGGAAACCGCATCCTCGAAGCAGCCAGGCTCGCCAGCCATGTTAATGGGCTTGTTTCACTAGCTGCTCCGTTCGCCCCTGCCCGAGAAGTACCGCCTGTGAGAGGCTGCAACACGCACGAGTGGAGCAAGATCGCAGTCGACGAGGCAGTGGCGATACGGTAGGTGTGGCAGTGGCGATACGGTAGGTGTGGCAGTGGCCGAAATTCTAAGCAGCCTCCTCGTTCAAGAGATTTGTTGATGTGACATTATGTGTACTAAAATACCCCGTTCTCCAAGTTCTGTGATCCTCGCCCTGGAAGTATGCGCTGGCATGTGTTCCCGTGACCCACCGTGTCAGGAATGGTGGATTTCATGGAATCGAGGCGACTCGACACGGACGATGCATTGCGATGCGACTCGCGATCGGGAAAACTTCTCTGGGTTGATCGTCCCTAGGGGCTGACAAAAACGCCACCACCGCAGCAGGTGCAGCAGGTGCTTGCTTGCTGTCTGCTGGTTGGGATGGCACGTGGAGATTCGAAAACGTGGAAACGTCAACAGCAGATTTGCTCGTTCGAGTCATCGAGAAGACTTTGTTACGGAGTATCGTTTGTTTATGACTCAGGAAACTGGTAATTATTATTCACAGCAAAAATACAAGATCAATAGGAAAGAAGATGCAAGCACAACATATATCAGAAGCATGGCACATTCAAAGCACACTACCTTGACCAACACTATAATGAAGAACGTTGAATCAAAACTGTGTTACCACACAGGACGGGCACCCTACTCTAAAGCCATTTAACCCAGCATGAAGCGAAGCTAAAAAAATCAAGCTGCCTGAGCCTCTGCTTCATGGGACTGCACTCCGACCAGGCGAGCATAATCCACCCACCTGCAGAAAGGAAGACGAGGACGAGGACGAGAATGAGAAAACATATATTTTCTTGGGCTTGTACAAAGTGACTCTACAAGGGATGATGGGGTAGGAAGTTGATACAGTTGGAACTTACAAGAGGGAGCCAAGATAGGTGTTGAGGGTACGGATACAGAAAGAAGCTCCAGAGAGGGCAATCTTGTGGTTGCGAAGAAGAGGATCCAGCATGCGTTGCTCAATTACCCCCGCAAGTATTTGATATCTGCACACATCAAAATAGCAAAGCACAATTGTAACGTTTGAACAATCAAAGACTCCTCATTTACAATATCAATCCACAATAGTTGCAGAGGTAGCCATTCATAGCACAAACTCACCTCAAGTTGCTCGAGACAGCCATGTATGCACCATACGCAACACTTGTTGCCACCAAAGGAAGCTCCCCCTCGCCCTTCACCACCTCCTTGCCAGTAGCAGCAGCCTCTTTCTTCTTGCCAGCAGCAACCAGTGCATTTGTGACACCAGTACCAATCTGCATAGAATGAGGGACGTAGTTCAGCAGCCATACATCCCAGCGTATTTCACAATGTAGTGCCAATTATGCACAAATGGAAGACACATGCATCGAAGCTTGTGATCACTCACCAAGGACGACACTGTTCCCACGGCCATTAGCTTCCCGCCATTTCTCTGCAAAAGGGAGCAAAGAATACCAGTGAGATCCTTTCGGAATAGTATGTTTCCGAATCACCAAAATTCTTCAGGACAGTCAAGCCAGTATGACACGCAAACGCCGACTTGGTACAAGTGACGATTGTGTTTCCTACATTCAACCACTTACCACGACACAGCCCACTCGTTGCAAAAGATTGTACTTGGCTCCTCCCAGCGCCATCTGGAAATGAGATAACACAGAAGGACGTAGAAGGATCAGTCATGGGTAGCGAAAAGGTAGCTTCAGATAAAATAAACGCCCACCTTAATAACAGAGAATACCGTAACAGACCAATCATACCTGGAAGGCATTGTCAGGGCAACGCGCGAAGAACGATGCGATCTTGTTGCCCTTGATAATGGCAGGAGCGCGCAGCGCAATGGTGGGAGCTGGCAGGTAAACCAGCATGAAGTCCGCGAAGAGCGCCATTACCTGATGGGAAACGGGAGCGGGGAAAAAGTCAACGTTCAGATGCAAGAAACTGGATCGGAACGGCATTAAAACGACGAAATAGCGATGGAACTCGAGACGCAAGTGGGACCAAGGTCAAGGAGTTGTTTCGATTGAAAGTTTAATGTACATGAATACCCGATCCGAAGCACGCAATCGGGGTTTGACTTACGATATCGGCGATCACGAAGTTGATCTCCTTCATGAAATTCTCCTTTCGGCGATCATACTCGGCCAAAGTCTGGTACGGGAACAGAGTGCACAGCAACGGAACGAGACAAGCGTGACAATTAGGGAAATAATCATAAATAAGGATTGCGTCTTATCCATGTGGCGCGCTATCGATCACCAATTGTATCGTGTCATGGTAGCATTCACGCTAAGGCATGTTTGACAGGGCAAACCGGGTTCGCGGTTTCGTCAGGAATATCAACCAAGCACCGGAAAGGATTATACTTGAGCTAGGAAAGTGGATCACACTACTCTATCGTGAATCTAACATACCTTAGTGAACATTCCGACGCCGCACTCGAAGAAGACTTTAAGGAAGAAAAGGTCGTCCGCCAGAAGGCGTTCTTGGAACCCAGACACGCGCACCAGGCGTCCCAGAATCGCGGACTTCTCCATTGCGGTAAATCGCTCCATAATAGCACCAGGAACTCGACCGGCCAAGACTGCATCTGCGAGCTCCTTGGGAATGGACTCGACGCTCTTCCCCAAAGCAGCCAGCACGGCAAGGGATTCGGATCGGTTCCGCTCACCGTCGCCGCCACCGCCGCCGTTACCACCGCCACCGCCACTGCCACCGCCTCCGCCTCCGCCTTTGCCGCTTGGTCCACTGAACGGACCGCCTCCGCCGATCTCGACGAAGTTCTCAGAAGCCACCGCTCCCGGCGGGGTGAGCCGCTTGGAGGATTCGGATGACGGCGGGAAAGCGAAGGTGGAAGAAGAGGAGAGAGAGTTGTCGTGGGACTCAGCGCCTGAAAGAGCACAGACGAATCTCGGCGAGCTTTTCGCCGAAGCGATCATTGTCACACGGCATACTTGTCCGCTGCGTTGACGAAGAGAGACGGACGATTTAGAAGCAGCGAAGCCTGTGTTCAGGGTGGCCCTTGCAGGAATGACTGCCATTGCCTCCATTGTGGCTTGGTTGCTTGTCGGCCAGACGATGATGGTTTAAGGCTTAATAATTAAAGGCTTAATTCTATCGAGCAAAAACGAAACTTGGGAAAAATGGCTGAACGATGAAAGGGATATCGACGAATTGTTGAACACCTGACTTGAACAACAAAATTGAGACTGATCTGTGTTGGACCGGTGTATTCAGCTCTCCAGATGCAGGTTACTGGGAAGATCGAGGAACGGTGCTGGTCCTGCTAGTGTGTAGAGCGAGTCTGCACTAGATGGCTAGATGTTGTGACAGGGGAAGAAGTTGGATCAGTTGATTCACTGACAAGCGGAGTGGTGCAGAGGGCGAAAATTGGATGCGTTTTCTACTGTATGTTGTCGCCTCGCCTCGCCACGCCAACCATCCCCGAAGAATTCCGCCTTTGGGGGCTCCGCGCTCCCTGTACCGCATCCTTCCAACGCGCGCGCACTCTCCGCTTGCGATTACCGTCGGATAGGCGGTTGATCCAAACCTGCGATGTTGGAGATGGCGATGACGCACGGGTGGTGTTCCTGGTTGCTTGCTTCGTTGTGCTGGCACGCGCTTCGGAGGCTTACCCGTCAGCCTGCGAATGGGGGAAGGCAGCTTCTGAAGACGTGTTTGGTGTGGGCGAATGGCAGCGCAAGTTTGGCGGAGGGGGATTGGACGAGACTCTGCGTCTGCGGTGGAGGGGTCAGAACCTTTTTGTGCTCCGGGGCAGAAAGAAAGTCAGTCAACTGAAGTCACCAACAAAAGCGAATTAAAACTACTCTTTCCTGGTGGAAACTGCAGCTACAGTGACTCAAACCTGACTCAATTGCCAGTATCCAGTGTGCGGCGGTTCGGAAAAAGGTCCCTCGAAAACCTGTTATAGAATCCGCACTCTTGGACATCCAGATCGCCTCGAAAACCAGCCTAAATAGTTCTCAGGGAACTGTGTCCGCGACGCAGATTGTGCTGTGCTGGCGCAATTGTTCCCCAGCAGCCACGGAAAGTGGCACGTACTTGTGAAGTGTAGACAGTTGGAAAGCAAAATTGGCTGCTAAGTGTGATTCCCAGCTTACTAGGGTCGTCTGACATGCGGCCCTTGGTGACATCGATGAGGCGGGATGGTGGAGAGGGGACGATAGACAAGGGCCGTGATGAGTGAGTGAGCGAAGCCGAATCGCTGTCATGAGTAGTTTGGTGAGGCGAATATGTTTTGGGACTGGGAGTAGAGACTTAGGGCCGGTGTAGGACAAAGGTAGATCGTAGGTATGTCGAGCTGGCGACATGGCATTTGCACACAGTAGTATCCCAAGAACCGGAAATAGATGATTGGACGGCACAGCCGAAAGCTTGGGAGTGGGAGACGCCACATCATTGATGCCCTAATCGGGTTTCAATTGGAAGTTCAAAATTCTCTTGCACGTTCCCCACACCAAGGAAATGGCTTCATGACACGTGTGAAACATGGAGAACACCTTTCCATACATACTCGATTGGGAATACATCAGAACTCGCTGTTGTCACGTCACCATACCAGTCCTTTTTTAATGCGATACACCTGTTGCGAAATTCCAGGTGCATATTTTTTTTCCCTCGACCTGCATACATTCCGTTGTAGCACTAAGTACCGGCATGGGGCAAGGGACACTACAAAACGCACATCATACAGAACCTGCTGTGAACATGCCGCTTTCATGCTCTACAGCATGGCCCTTGTTCACGTGATGGTAGTAATATTTCAATCAATGTTTCATATTTAATTACAATAATTTGGCTTGGGTAATGAAACATTGATGAGCACAAACGGTTGTGTCTTACATATTGTTACGGGTGCAATGAATCGAGGTAGCGAGAATTGCACTAAGGTGTCAAACGAGTACAAAATGTGAGCGAAGGCATGAGCGAGCATTTATACGCGAAACATGCAAAACGGTAACGCGGTGCGTGCGAACTTGCTAGTGCTACGCTGGAGCGAGGCTCGGGCTAGTCCCGAAGCGTAGGCCGATACGGCCATGCCAGCAGTGCGAGGTTTGGCAAAACAGTGCGCGCGAAGTCGGCGAAGTTCCGTTAGCAGTAACGGGCGAACAGTCGGCTGTTGCTGTACGCGATGTAGTCGGCTCCGTAAGGAATGCCTGAGAAAATTCCTTACACTACCCCCCCCCTTAAGAAGCCCCCTCCGCTACGCGAGTGCGTGTATATCCCGGAATCCCCGGCTTCTCAAGTACACTTGCAGGGCAGGGTGATTTTCGATGTTGCTCAGGGGCACCCAGCTATCTTCAGTTGGCGTGCGGTCTTTCCAGCGAACGAGGAATTCAATCCTCCTGATTCCCGTGGGGTGGCGGATCCGATGGCTCAAAAATTTCTCGGGCTCGATGATCGGCTCTGATGCAGGGCGAGTCATTGATTGTGGCCGGTGACGCGGCAGTTGACTCGTGGTCGGGATGTATGGGCGAAGTAGGCTGACGTGGAACGAAGGGCTGATGTACCAGTCAATTGGCAACAGTAGGTGCGCGGTGACGGGTGTGATCATGTGACTGATTTGGAATGGTCCACAGTAGCGCGGTCGTAATTTTGGTACGTCGGGCAGTCGCAGATTTTGCGTGTCGAGTAGCACGTAATCTCCAGATTGATACGTGACGGGGCGGCGGTGGCGATCAGCGTTGCGCTTAGCGATGACGTTGGCCTTTTTTATTGCTTCGGCGGCTCTGGCGCGGGCAGCTTGCAGGATTTCGGCGAATTGTTGTGCGCGTGGCGTGGGGTTGTCCGGACTCGGCGTCATGGGCACTGTGGGGTTCTGCCCATAGTTCAGGTAGAACGGGGACTGCTGCGTCGTGGTTGATGTGGCGTTGTTGTACGCGAACTCGATCAGCGGCAGCTGCTGCTCCCAGGTCGTGGGGTCGTCGCACGTGGCACGAATCAACTGCTCCATCGTCTGATTCGTCCGCTCCGTTTGGCCGTCGGTCTCGGGGTGGTACGACGAACTGAACTGTAGCCTGGTCCCGAACTGCTCCCAGAGGTTCTTCCAGAAGTTGCTGGTAAACTTCGTGTCCCTGTCGCTGATAATTGCTGCTGGTATCCCGTGCAGGCGAACAACGGCTGCGATGAACAGGCGAGCGGTCTCTTCGGCTGAGATCGACTTTTTGCACGCAGCGAAGTGTGCCATCTTCGTCAACCTATCCACGACGACCATCACCGCGTCGTTACCCCCAGGGTTCGAAGGTAACCCTGTGACGAAGTCCATGGTTACTTGCTGCCAGGCGCGTTCGGGCGGTGGGATCGGCTGCAATTGACCCGCCTTCCGCTTCCTTGAACTCTTCATCACCTGACACGTCGGGCACGAGCCCACGTGCTGCTGTACGTCGGTCAACAGCTCCGGCCAGTAATAGTACCGCTGCAGTTGCTGTCGTGTTTTTTCTACCCCGAAATGTCCCGAGGTAATCCCGTCGTGTGCCTCCTGCAGCAGCAGCTCCCTCAGTAGTGAGTACGCGGGTACCCAAATGCGGTTGGTGCCTGTTTTTACGTAATAAACTCCTTTTGCTTCTGCCAGTTGCTGTGAATTTCCGGTCGTGAAAAATGGGTCGGTGCGGTATCCGTGGGTGAATAGGCCAGTTAAAAGCGGGTTGGTCTGGGCGAGTAGGATGGCGTGGAGTTGGGCGGTGGGGCGGGTGAGAGCGTCGGCGATGTTGGATGCTCCTTTTTTGTACGTGACGGTGTAGTGAAAATTGGACTCGAGATAGTCCAACCAGCGAATCTGTCGTGGGTTGAGATTCGGTTGGGCGCGAAGGTACTGTAGCGAGCGGTGGTCTGTCCGTACTGTCACGTCGGCACCAGTCAGGTAACATCGCCAAACTTTGAACGCGTGCACGATCGCTAGCATCTCGCGGTCGTGTATCGGGTAGTTACGTTCGGGCGGGTGTAACTTGCGGGACTCGTACGCGATTGGCTGGAGGCCATTCCCGAAATCCTGCAACAGTACTGCTCCCACAGCGATGTCACTTGCGTCGGTGACGAGCTCGAACGGACGGTGGGGATCTGCAATGTGAAGGACGGGCGGGGAGCACAAAATATTTTTGAGGGCCGAGAAGGCAGCTTGCTCTTTCTCCCCCCACGTGTACTCAACCCCCTTCCTCAGCAGGTCAGTCAACGGGGCAGTCAGTTTCGCCATGTCGGGGACGAACCGGCGCACGTAGTTGACGAACCCCAGGAAACTCTGCAACTCGGTCAAGTTGGTCGGCGCGTGCCAAGCCTGAATCGTCGCAATTTTCTTCGGGTCTATTTCCACTCCTGCAGCTGAAATAACATGTCCCAAAAACTCCAGGCGGTCCTGTAAAAACTCACACTTAGATGCTTTGGTCAGTAGGCGGTTCTCACTCAGGATTTTAAAAACTGCTTCGATGTCTTGTAAGTGCTGTGCTCTGTCAGGGCTGTAAATCAGT